GTAAAAAAATATATTAGAGAATTAATTAGATCGAATGCTCCAAACTGGAAATCTAGCAGCATGGGCATTTGCCAATTTCAAATTTTCAATTTGCATTCCGTGTCATGTAATTGCCTGATGTGAGTTTTGCCTAGATTTGAGGCTGATATCTAGCAAGGAACCTCGGAAAATTGCAATCTAGTACTCCCAACGTTCCAGAATATAATAAGTTTTAGAGTTGGATACGGTTATTAAGAAAGTAGGTAGAAGTGAATAGTAGAGGGTTTTGATGGGTTGGGAAGAGAACATTGGTAGATAAGTTGTTATATTTTAGAACAAATTCTGAGAACTAAAAGTTGTTATATTTTAGGACGGAGGGAATATCAATTATATGAGCCATGCTCATAACAGAAAAAAAACACTATACATATTGACATGCACATTTGCTTCACGGTCAAGACTTGAGGCACACACGAAAGGCAGCCGACATATCGAATACTGCAAAATACTATAGCTTATATATATATATATATATATATGCTAATCCGTCTATCGTGCATTACAGACAAATTATCTGTCATGCAAGTTGAAGAAGCAATCATAGATATATCGTATATATTTTTCAGATGTTCATTTGACTCCATGCACAACACTCCACAGAATGCAGAATTCTACGATTCTATATCTGCTATCAAAATAGCACGAAATGGCCATGTGGCCAAAAACGACATTACGATATGGAGGGCTATATATATCTGCATGCGACGCAGGCATTGCATTGCATCGCATCGCATTGCATCTGCAAGAGTAGTAGTAGTGGTGCTCTGGTAGTCTACTGCTGCTTGATCGATCGATCGATCGCCATGGCTTCTTCTCTTTCAGTGGCCGTGCTCCTGTGCCTCGCCGCCGCCGCGGCGGCGCAGCTGTCGCCGACGTTCTACGACACGTCGTGCCCCAGGGCGCTGGCCACCATCAAGAGCGCCGTGACGGCCGCCGTGAACAACGAGCCTCGCATGGGGGCGTCACTGCTCAGGCTGCACTTCCATGACTGCTTTGTCCAAGCAAGTCCCTGATCTCATCGATCTCATGGCTAACTTTAGCTGCAGTAATTAATAAATCTATGTTCAGTTTTCGTTTTGCGTCTGATTGCACTGTGTTCAGAATTAGCTAAGTTATGTGACACTGTCAATTCAGTTGGACTGACAGAATTACTAACGTCAAAAGGCTAGCTTTGGACTCGTCACTGACACTGATACGAGATTCCATTTCCAAGCTTAGCTTTGACCATCTCTAGTTTGACTCAAGTAAAAAGAGAGAGTAGGAGTTGATAACAATTGACTATTAGTACTCGTAACAATTATTATTATTATTATTATTATTATTATTATTATTATTATTATTATTATTATTATTATTATTATTATTATTATTATTATTATTATTATTATTATTATTATTTTATTTTGCAACTAGGACTGACAAAGTAGTAGTAACTGTCAATTTATCAGGGGTGCGATGCGTCCGTACTGCTGGCGGACACGGCCACGTTCACCGGCGAGCAGAATGCTCTTCCTAACAAGAATTCTCTCAGAGGCTTCAACGTCGTCGACAGCATCAAGACGCAGCTCGAGGGCATCTGCAGCCAGACCGTCTCCTGCGCCGACATCCTCGCCGTCGCCGCCCGCGACTCCGTCGTCGCAGTAAGCTAGATCATCATCCTCGCCGCCGCACCGGCCGCTTGTGCGACATGAAACTCACGACGATTAATTAAGGAATTAATTAATTTCTTCTTGTGGTTGCAGCTGGGAGGGCCGTCATGGACGGTTGGTCTCGGGAGGAGGGACTCAACCACGGCGAGCATGGACAGCGCTAACAACGACCTGCCTCCTCCTTTCTTCGACCTCGAGAACCTCATCAAGGCGTTCGGCGACAAGGGTTTCAGTGTCACCGACATGGTTGCTCTCTCAGGTAAACTGATCAATCGATCGGTTTCTGAATTTTCTGAAGTCATAGCTCACTCTACATCGCGATATGACATGATGGATGATGCAGGTGCGCACACGATCGGGCAGGCGCAGTGCACCAACTTCAGGGGAAGGATCTACAACGAGACCAACATCGACGCCGGCTACGCGGCGTCGCTCAGGGCCAACTGCCCGCCGACGGCCGGCACCGGCGACAGCAACCTGGCGGCGCTGGACACGACGACGCCCTACTCCTTCGACAACGCCTACTACAGCAACCTGCTGTCCAACAAGGGGCTCCTGCACTCCGACCAGGTGCTCTTCAACGGCAACAGCACGGACAACACGGTCAGGAACTTCGCCTCCAACAGGGCGGCGTTCAGCAGCGCCTTCTCGTCGGCCATGGTGAAGATGGCCAACCTCGGACCACTCACCGGGAGCCAGGGACAGATCAGGCTTAGCTGCTCCAAAGTGAACTAATAATTAAGTAAAGAATCAAACTGGATACAAAAGCAAACACAAATTTGGGAATAAGGCTGGGCCATATATGTCACAGTAGTAGTATTTTACTAGTCTGAAATGTTTGCTAAGAGTGTTTTCTCTGATCAGCACAAAGTGTTTGAAACAGATCAGGAAGCCCATGTTATGTACCGATCAGTATGGTTTTGAAGTTATCAAGGAATGCATGAATGATAATCTCTAACTGTCCCTTGCTTCAATATGTTTGGCTGCTAGGGGCATTTTAGTTTGATGCCCTCAATCTTAATGACATTCGGATGGCCCTTTCTTCGGCCATCCTGGCCAAAAAATAATTAAAAAAAGGTTTAACGCCTATCAAAATACTAATAGTCACAAATGAAGACACATGATAGAAATAGCACAATTTTCAATGTACAAGGTGTATACATATTACACTGCACCATCCTAGGAAAATATACAGTGAAAACCACCTATTTGATGAAAACTATCGTATAAAAGTCTTTAAGAAAATCACATATCTAGATAAGATGATATTAAAGAACCATATAAAATTGCACGACCAAATTCAACTTCGTTCATGAGATATAAAATTATCAAATGTCTATGAAAAAACATAATTCCTATTTTTTTGTCTTGTTCTTCACTACTTTTCATTCATACAACTCATAAATAAAGTCGAGTTTGGTCTTGCAATATTGTACAAAACCTCCGTTTTTTAATAGATAACGCCGGTGGCTTTTTATCACACGTTTGAGCATTCGCCTTTATTTTAAAAAAATTATGTTATTATAATTTATTTTGTTGTGAGTTGTTTTATCACTCAAATTACTTTAAGCATGATTTATATATTATACATTTGCATAAAATTTTTGAATAATACGAATGGTCAAATATGTGTTCAAAAGTTAACGGCGTCATCTATTAAAAAGGAGTATAATTCTCAAATATCATCTTATCTATATGTGTCAATTTTTTTTAGATTTTCTTGATAATTTTTATGATGTTACTTACATAGTTTTTACCGTTGTGATTTTCACCGTATATTTATCCATAAACCAGAGCCGTTGTGCCTAAGCATATAGGTCAAACTAGAGATGATCCAGAATAAAGCCTAGACAGTTGAGGCAACAACTGGTGGTCATTTTCCTTGGACTGGGAGAGCAAAATGGTTGCATAACGGTCAGAGCAAGATAGAATTGTATTTGGACAAATGCGGACCTTTTGTACGTAATCAGTCATGATCATGATGGACCTACATGTTGATGTCCAGCTAGCTACACGAAAATGACGTGCCATTATATAGCTGCTGTTATATATTACTCTATTAATTACTCCATAATTAATCATACTCGCCTACTAGCATGGCTCTTTCCGATCCAGAGCTTATTTAATTTGTCTGTTCTAGCTCATCCATGATATAATATGTAGTATACTATAAGTAACCAAAATGTATCACCAAACATACCTAGATTAGCAATTTAGTGTATCAAGGAAAATTTAGCACGTCTCTGTGCCTTCAGTCTTCAGTATCATGAGATACCAAATTTACACTAAAATTTGATATTTCTTGATATCTATTAGGGACGAAAATTTCTCGTCTCGAATATTAAAAAATTTGGTACCTCTCAAAAACTATAAAATTTCTTGTCTTCAATATCACCATATTTAGCGATTAATCAACTTTTTTTAATCATCCGCATATTACACTCGACGATGATTTTTTTAAAAAAATCTTGTGGGACTTTGTTTATGTTTTGTTGCAATTTTTTATGTTCTACTTATCCAATATAAACCTTGTCACTATTTGTGTATAACTGCAAGTGTTGGAAGTTATATTTTAAGTTAATGTCAAGTTATGGCTTTCAATTGAAAAACAACACTAATATATTCTGATTTTGTTGTTGTATACATTTAAATCTCAAAAGAAGGCCATAATATTGTAAGATGTGCACATATATATTCATGAACGCCAAATTTCCGTATAATTCTGACTAACAATCATATTTCGTCTTTCACAGTACTGATTGTATGTATTATATAGTGCTATGTGTGCGTGTGCGTCTTCTGATGAGCCTAGAAAGGCAACTTGCCAAGGGGATTGAGCCATAATTTGCGGGATGCATGTATAATGTATTCCAGCTTATCATGCCATGGCGCACCAGGAAGAAAAATCTGCCGTCCGACGCATGCCGCCTGTTTATCTTGACCAACAACAGCACAATGGGCTAATTAATCAGCAACCATTCCGAATCATACATATATCATATTCATGCTGCAAATATTGTATACGTCCGGAGAGAGATGTATCGAACAGGCCCTACACTGAATGAGTGATATACAGAGTTGGTGTTGGATGTAGCAATTTAAGTCTGACGCTATCACAACTGCCGGATGGGGGCATGTATGCAGATGACGAAACTTCTATTGTTCAGGTTGAACGTCTTGTACGTACGCTTGTATGCCAATGTGGACAAGTTGGACTTGGTGGTCACAAAGTTTGGATGTTTATATCCCTACAAGAGTGGCATGCTCGTGGCAGCGTACAAAATCTCTGGCTATAAATATGCATGCAATGCAGCAATCTCTTGCAAGCCACAACGGCCAAGCAGAAAGTGCAATTAGCCTGCAGGCAGCTAATCAGTAGTAGCTTGCTAGCCATGGCTTCTGCAACTAATTCTTCACTTAGCTTAATGCTGCTGGTGGCTGCAGCTATGGCGTCAGTGGCATCGGCGCAGCTCTCGGCGACGTTCTATGACACGTCGTGCCCCAATGCGTTGTCCACCATCAAGAGCGTCATAACAGCCGCCGTGAACAGCGAGGCTCGCATGGGGGCGTCGCTGCTCAGGCTGCACTTCCACGACTGCTTCGTCCAAGCAAGTTTCACACAACCAATTGTACTAATTTTCATGAAATTATAGTATATTTCGGACGAGAAAATAACAGAGAACATATATCTAAAATCACTGCAGGGGTGCGACGCGTCAGTTCTGCTGTCCGGGCAGGAGCAGAATGCTGGCCCGAACGTGGGGTCGCTGAGGGGATTCAGCGTCATCGACAACGCCAAGGCGCGGGTGGAGGCCATCTGCAACCAGACCGTCTCCTGCGCCGACATCCTCGCCGTCGCCGCCCGTGACTCCGTCGTCGCGGTAAGAATGTCACAGCCCTTCGATCGCCCGTGACTTTCTTTCTGTTGTTCTTTCACTGATAGAGCTAGCTCCCTCTTGGTTCGCAGCTGGGAGGGCCATCATGGACGGTTCTGTTGGGGAGAAGGGACTCCACCACTGCAAGCGAGGCCTTGGCAAATACCGACCTCCCTGCCCCTTCCTCTAGCCTCGCAGAACTTATCGGCAATTTCTCCAGAAAGGGACTCGACGCAACCGACATGGTTGCTCTCTCAGGTAATCCGATATGGAGTATTATATACGAGTATATATATAGATAGATTAGGATACCATGTATATATGTGTTGCAGATTTTCTGATAAGATGAGAGCGCGATTAATTATTTCGCAGGAGCACACACGATCGGGCAGGCGCAGTGCCAGAATTTCAGGGACAGGATCTACAACGAGACCAACATCGATTCCGCCTTCGCGACGCAACGCCAGGCCAACTGCCCACGGCCGACGGGCAGCGGCGACAGCAACCTGGCGCCGCTGGACACGACGACGCCCAACGCCTTCGACAACGCCTACTACAGCAACCTGCTGTCCAACAAGGGGCTCCTGCACTCCGACCAGGTGCTCTTCAACGGCGGCAGCGCGGACAACACGGTCAGGAACTTCGCGTCCAACGCGGCGGCGTTCAGCAGCGCCTTCACGACGGCCATGGTGAAGATGGGGAACATCTCGCCGCTGACCGGGACGCAGGGGCAGATCAGGCTCAGCTGCTCCAAGGTGAACTCCTAATTAAGGAGTAGTATGACGGGATGCGTTCGTTGCTGGAAGCAAATCGTGTCGACGACGACATAAACGGGCCACACCACATATACCCATATATGTAGTATAACCACAAGTATAGGTACGGTGGTGTTGTACTAGTACACGTAAAGTATATGGCAGCCAGCTCGCTCTAGCAATCCATCAAGTGTATGGAGCAGAGCAGCCATGGCATTAGCACCTAGTATACCAAAATAAAAGCTCCTCATGCGAAGGCATGCATGGAGGATTAATGAACTGTTACCTTCACACACATGTCCGTTCACAACTTCTCCAGACTTTTACGGTACATCAAGCTCCGTTTTTTCAAGTAAACAACACTAGATTATGTTTTTTCATTAGATAGAGAAAAAATAAATACAACCTGCCCCTAGGAGCGAAAAAAAGAAGAAGAAAAAGCCCGTCTTTACAAATTATATACTGATAGGTAATAACTCTCTAAGTCATTTTGTTCCTGCCATAGTCCAAGTCTTCTTCCTCTATTTTTGCTAGGAGGGTTATTGTCGTGGTCTCCTTGTTAGAAATTTTGTTGGTTCCTCTCCTTCCGTATCTTCTAGACGACAAGGAGAATTAGGGAGCGCAATCCCCGCTTTGGCATAAATGTCGTGTTTGGCACACACATTGATAGGGGTGGCTAACAAGCCGACTCGGCTCGACTCGTAAAAACTCATTAAGTTAATGAGCTAGCTTGGCTCGACTCGTTAACATAACGAGTTAAAAATGGAACTCGACTCGACTCATTAAAAAGTCCGAGTTGACTCATTAAACGTGTTACACCAAAAAACATGGTTTGAAATTCATATGCAATATAATTTGTGATTCTATGACAAAAATTATGATTGGCGTGCTATGTATCATGGCTCATAAGATTGTACTACAATGTATAATTATGAGTATATGACTTTTACACCTGTAAAATATGAACAATTAACTTCTATCTTAGTGTATCATGAGCTCAACGAGCTAATCGAGTAACTCACGAGCTAGCTCGAGTTGGCTCGTTAAGTAAACGAGTAAAAGTTCAAACTCATTAACTACTCGAGTTAAGTCGAGCCGAGCCGAGTTTTACACAAGTTGAGCTAGCTCGTAAGTTCGATTTTTTTTCCACCCCTGCACATCGAGCTCTGTTTCGCTATTGATGTTGGTTGACACGGTGAACTTTGACTCTTTGAGTATCAATTATCAAACGGTGTACTCCTACCGTCTTACGTGCCATTGCCATCCCGCGCGGCCGCACCGTCCCAAACTCCCACCGACGCAAGCAAGCGCCGCCCTTCCGCTTGGGCCGTTTTACGCCCGAATGGTCCGAGACCTACCTATTGGGCCTTTGGACCGTGTGACGCCACATTTCGCTCGCAGTGTCTGTCAGACCAGGGATGGTGGCCCGTGGGCGCTGAGCAGGCCGGCCTTTCATTTAGTTCGTGTCACCTGTAGGCGGCTAGGCCGGAGGGAAACTAACGTACACTTTTGTTGTTATTTATAACTTTATCGACTATAAATTTTGATAAGCAACAAATCAAACATGCCATAATCAATTAGGCAAAATTCAGTAATTTACCTTAGCAAAATTTAGTAATGGAAAAATTAGGAAAAACTAAAGTTATATTCCCTCCTCCTCAAAAAGAATACAATTTTAGATTTTAAATTTATTCCAACATATAACGTACTCTATAGTATTGCTTTTTCGTCCAACCACCACTCATTCACCCATATATTACTAACCTAGCTACTCCACCATTCCCAACTGTCCCTCATTTGATGAGTGGTCGAGTATTTTTCCTATACTATACTAGTTTGTCTTTTAAATATTACAATTGTATTTTTCTTTTTTAGAATTGAGGTAGTAAATTTGTAAACAAAGTGAACAGGCCACCAACCTACTAGGTGGACCACTGTACACGATAATATTATTTGTGCTATTGTGTTTATTTTAATCTAAGTTGCAAATCAAGAGAGTATTTTATTTCATTCAAAAAGGAATAATTTGTGAAACACTCAGCAACTGTATAATATTAGCCGTGAAACTCGGTTAACCATAATTTTTTTTCAAAGGAACTATACGATAATTTAATTATTTTACTATCCGCATTTTATGGCTTAAGAAACAAGAGTAACATACGGCACATGCAACAACCACCATTCTAGCTAGAGCTAGAAATGTCGGCCCAACTTGTGATAGCTAATTACGTTCGAATGGAAAATCATATCACCAACATGCATGGTTTAATCATGGCAACGCTGATGCGAAAGCTCTCGCAGATCTATTATTTTTTCCCTGGAGATTGATCGAAAATGATGGCACAACGGTATGTAATGCTATAACAGCATATATTGTCTTGTAACACACCGTTTGCACTTAAATTAGACAATTAGTCCGAACGTACATAAGAAGATGAATTGCGATAGACCATTCTAGCTCGTCACGAGCTGAATAGTTCTCGCACTATTATACCCGAGATCAATTAGCAGAGTATTAATAAGGTAAAGTTATTTTCATAAACTCTGTACGACGATAGTGCATACATACCAATCTTTAACAAAGGGACAAATTATCGACGGCATTTGTATGTTCATGTGCTATTCTATGGCACGGGTGCTCTTTTTTTTTGGCTTAAGCAACGCGTGATTAATGGTTAACAGATTAAGGTCAAGCGAAATGGACCGAACTGACCCTACATTGCATGAATAATGCAGAGGTGATGATGTTGGCCGTAGGCCGTACGTAGAAACTTATGTTGGACACACATGTAAGTACTAGTAGTCTAGTAGCACTAATAAAGTTAACTAATAAATTATATATGATGTCACTTTAAAAAATACAGATTCAAATTCGATATATTGAAGTTGAACAAATTAAATTCTAGCTAGTTAGTATGCACACATTCACACTCATATTTGTTTTTGTGTTGTAATTTATAGAAGTTAAAATTCAACTTGCAATTTGTTAGTAAAAACATAACTATTTAGATGACTAGAAACATATCCTTCTGTTGTAATGTGCCAGGCTCATATAAGTAGAAATATGCTATTAGAAAATTAGAGATAGTACTCTGTGCGTGGTGGGAGGAGGGATGAAAAAATGACGAGTTCGATTTTAAGGTAGTAGAGATATGTACAAAGCAATAGGATATTCCTATTGAGATTAAAATACATTCCCCTGCCCAGCTCCCCTCGTATGATTAATGTACCTGCATATTTCGTCTCATCTCGGCACCAATCGATGGCGTCAAGCCTGTAGCTAAGCTAGCTATATAAGATGCAGCGTGGCACCAGCCTCTCTTGCAAGCCACGGCCAGCGAAAAAGCTTAAAAAAAACTGCAGTTATTTAGGTAGGATTAAGCATACGCGCACGGCGCATCATATCGCTCACTCTGCATGGCTTCGGCTTCTTCTGTCAGCTTAATGCTGCTCGTGGCTGCAGCTATGGCCTCAGCCGCCTCGGCGCAGCTGTCGGCGACGTTCTACGACACGTCGTGCCCAAACGCATTGTCCACCATCAAGAGCGCAGTGACGGCCGCCGTGAACAGCGAGCCCCGAATGGGAGCCTCGCTGGTCAGGCTGCACTTCCACGACTGCTTCGTCCAAGCAAGTTTTGATCACCTAATCTAATCAGCTGTACAAGTAGTTCTCCTTAGACTGTACTTTGAGACAAGGAAATTAATAACAGAGGATGTATCTATGGACTTCACTGATGATGCAGGGCTGTGACGCGTCTGTTCTGCTGTCCGGCCAGGAGCAGAATGCAGGCCCGAACGCTGGGTCACTTCGGGGATTCAACGTCGTCGACAACATCAAGACGCAGGTCGAGGCCATCTGCAGCCAGACCGTCTCCTGCGCCGACATCCTCGCCGTCGCCGCCCGTGACTCCGTCGTCGCGGTAAGATCACGGATGAGATTACTACATGATGCATATATTTCTTGTAGACTGTAGTAGTACGTACTCCTAATCGCTCTTGGTTTGGTTTGGAATCCTTATATTTGCAGCTCGGAGGGCCGTCGTGGACGGTTCTATTGGGAAGAAGGGACTCCACCACTGCGAACGAAAGCCAAGCAAATACCGACCTCCCTGCCCCTTCCTCTAGCCTCGCTGAACTTATCGGCAATTTCTCCAGAAAGGGACTCGACGTAACCGACATGGTTGCTCTCTCAGGTACATATATATGTACACAGATTATATCAGTGATTGATTCTCTTACAAATTTTCTGATAAGAATCATAATACGATGAGAACTTGCAGGCGCACACACGATCGGGCAGGCGCAGTGCCAGAACTTCAGGGACAGGCTCTACAACGAGACAAACATCGACTCCAGCTTCGCGACGGCGCTCAAGGCCAACTGCCCACGGCCGACGGGCAGCGGCGACAGCAACCTGGCGCCGCTGGACACGACGACGCCCAACGCCTTCGACAGCGCCTACTACACCAACCTGCTGTCCAACAAGGGCCTCCTGCACTCCGACCAGGTGCTCTTCAACGGCGGCAGCACGGACAACACGGTCAGGAACTTCTCCTCCAACACGGCGGCGTTCAACAGCGCCTTCACGGCGGCCATGGTGAAGATGGGGAACATCTCGCCCTTGACTGGAACCCAGGGGCAGATCAGGCTCAACTGCTCCAAGGTTAACTAGCCGGTGATGACGAGTACGTGATGGTCTCAGGGAATAAAGCTAGGCCCCGACATTGCTGCCAATAGCGTGCAGCTAGCTGTGGCCATCTCATCACTTTCATGGTTCAATGGTTTCATCAGCAAGTGCACGGAACAGACTAGAGAGTGTAGGTGTATGCATGTGTGATGTCATGTAACGAGTTGCCATGCAAAGGCATGAGGATTACGGACCTCTCTTTCGTCGTAATCCTAGCAGCTACAGATTTCAACTGTCGTGTTAACCAAGTGAAGTGCTAGTTTCGAATGTATTGGCCCCTCTCTGCTCTTCTCTGCTCTGGCGATCTGGCCTCTGCGATGGTTTCTTCTGGGGAATAAGTTCATCTAAGTTCCCTTAACTTGTCAACGAATCCGATTTTTATCCTTCAACCACAAAACCAGATACAATTGGTCCCTCAACTATCAAAACCGGTGCATATTATGTCCCTCGGCGGTTTCGATAGTGGTTTTGGCTGACGTGGCGCCTACGTGGCTAATTTTGACTCGGTCTTGATCTGACGTGGCACTGATGTGGCGCTTACGTGGCAATTCGATCCGGAAAATAATAAACCCCGTGGGACCCACATGTCAGTTTCACACACAATAATAATAATAATGGTGGGACCCACGCGGACCCCACATGTCAGTCTAATTAACCCCTCCTCTTCTGCTTCCTCTCTCTCCTCCTCCCCTCTCTTCGTCTCTCTCTTGCGCTGGGTCATTCTGATTCTCCTCTTCCCCATCTTCTCTGTCTTCATCTCTCTCCCCTCTCCTCTCTCTCTTCTCTCCGGTTCACGGGCGGCGGGGAGAGGACGGTGTCCGGCTGGGAGAAGGGGCGCGGCGCGGCGGCTAGTGGGAGGGAAACTAGCGGATAGAAGGGAACCAGCCCGGTGGCGGAGGCAGCGCCGCCGCGGCCGTGGCTGCGGACGACGTCGACGTCGACCTCGGCATCCTCGGCGGCGGGATGAACGTGTCCCGCCGACCGGCCGACACACGCGCGCATCCTCGGAGGTGGCTGTCCACGTGGGCGGGTGAGGGGGCCACCTCGCCGGCGGGAGAGGGGAGAGGCGGCCGGCTGCGAAGACGACCCTAGTGATGATGACGACCGTGCGGCGCGCGGCGGAGGCCGATCCCGTGAGCAGGAAGCTCTTCGTCCACGGCCTCGGCTGGGGCACCAGAGCCGACGACCTCCGCTCCGCGTTTATATGCCTAATCATACAAAGGTAGAAGAAATAGCGACTAGTACTAGCTGACTGGAGTATATTTTGCTTCGTCATCATCATTTGCTTGTGTTATGACGGGGTTGATGAATGAATAAATGATCATTGTTTTGGGCAAGAAAACACCGTTCCGGCCGGACTGACGAGGAACCCATATCGATCCGCTCGCCGCGGCCCATGGAAACCCAACAGGAGATGGCAACGCTACCTTCCGCCGTCGGCGACTACTAATGGTGGGTGATGCTCGAGCACATTGATGAACTCGAGGTCGACGACGAGGACTCCAACTACAACTCCTGCTCCGCCGCTGCCGACGACACCGCCAATCCCGTGAGTCCATGACGACCTCGCTCACCTCCAACGGCCACGTCGTAAGAGTCTACTTCCGCCTCAAAGCGCCCCCGGCGACGTCACACCTATGCCTCTGGCAATCACTCTTCTCCATTTCCGCCGCCGTCGTCGTCGCCGGCCGCATCCCCTAGTGCAAGAGAGAGATGAAGAGAGGAGAGAATGAGAGAGAGGAAGCAGAAGAGGAGGGGTGAGTAGACTGACATGTGGGGCAGCGTGGGTTCCACCATTATTATTATTTTTTTTTGTGTGTGAAACTGACATGTGGGTCCCATGGGGTTTATTATTTTCCCGGGTCAGATTGCCACGTAAGCGCCACGTCATACCACGTCAGATCGAGACCGAGTCAAAATTAGCCACGCAGGCGCCACGTCAGCCAAAACCGCCATCGAAACCGCCGAGGGACCTAATATGCACCGGTTTTGATAGTTAAGGGACCCGTTGTATCTGGTTTTGCGGTTGAAAGACGAAAATCGGATTCGTTGATAAGTTAAGGGACCTTAGATGAACTTAAGAAGTCCGCCTGGAGAGCTGAAATGGGCTGCACCTTTTAGTGTCCCCGTGATGTGGCCCAACTACGCCTAGTTAATGGGCTACTGGTCTGGAAAGTGGATTGTAGTCCGCTTGTGTACGCTGGAATAAGTTCACTTTGCGTCCCGCATCTTTGATGGCAAGTTTGAAAATTCGTTGCTGAACCGCAATATCAAGTATAGCCTGTCCCCGAACTCGTAAAACCGTGTTAACTTTCGTTCTAATATAGTATGGCTCCTGATTTCGTCCGATGTGGCGCTTTGACTCTGGTCAGTTGTGCTGAGTTAGCGTGGGACCCATGCTAGCCCGTGTGTTAGTAACTAACTCTTTCCTCCTCTCTCCCGCTCTCTCCTCTCTTCCCAATCCCCAACCAGGAAGCAGGTCGCAAGCAGCGTGGATAAGGTTGGCAGCCGACGTCCAGCGGGTGTGTGGGGAGAAGGGCGGCCAAGCCCGATGCGATGCAAGGAGCCATGTCCAATTTGAGAATGTAATTCGAACTCAATGTTAAGAGGACAGATCCCCGGCTGTGTTCGGGAGGAGGGGTTGGGAACCCCTCCTCTCCGGCAGGTATAACGAAACAATCATTAGTGTATAACTAATTAAGTATTAATTTAAAAATTTTAAAAAATAAATTAATATGATTTTTTTAAAAAAAACCTTCCTGTAGAAAACTTTTGAAAAGAACGTATCGTTTAGTAGTTTGAAAAGCGTGCATATGAAAAAAAGAGGAAAATGAGTTGAAAAAAAAAGGGAATAAGTGGACTTATTCCTGTGTACGCCTTAAATCGCCATGTGCATGTGTATAGCAGGGTTGTATGGCGTCCAAAAAAACACGCACACGGATAGTTTTGTTCGGTTTGGCATAACAATTTATAGCATGTTGACTGTTGACCTCATCCTGTCAGTCGCTCGGTTCATCATTTCAACTGCTTGTGCATCACCCAAATAATTCGACTGGCTAAGGTTTATCAGAAAATGTGTGTTCGTCTATTTTTTCTGGTAGAAGATTTACTTCGGAAATAGTTGTGGTCCAAATACTGTCCAAACTCTTTTCCAAACGAGTGAGAAGAGAAATGGTGGCCAAATGGAAGATGATCACGTACACCAAAAAATAGTAATCTTATAGATATATCATCAACTAGTAGTGCACAAGCTCCCACGTTAATTAAAAATTTTGATCAATTTATTGTCTACATGCCCAATTAATTAATGTTTGAATCCTAATACATGCATGGAAGATAAAATTAGAACCAGATAATAAAAGCAATGATGTACTCACTCCTTCCCATGTTTATCCATCATATAATGGAATTTAAAATTTCTTAAATCGATCATCATATAACCGCATGGACACAGATTTTATCAAAATACAATTAATACAGCATGAAAGAATGTGTACATGCTAAGATGTAATTGACATGGTGTTTTAATCGATACATACATTATGGGAGAATGTGTGCATGGTGTTTTGATTAATGTGATTTAAATTATACTTGGTCCTCGTGCATAAACATATATGATGATCAATTTAGGAATGAGGAAGTATTTAGTTTGTGTGTTTATATGAGCGTTTGCACGACTGTACTATGTTTTTAAAAAATACTGTTACCTTTCTACTCCCTACATTCTCCCATGATGTATTAATTGTATTCTGATAAAATTCGTGTCCATGCAGTTATATGATGATCAACTTGAAAAATTTTGGATTCCATTATATGATGATTAAATTGGGAAAGAGAGAGTATTAGCTTTTTCAAATAAATATAGGGGGGGGTGGTTCAGCAATTAAAATGGGGCTAACCTACCTGTAAACTCTAAACAGAAATCTGTGCCTAAAGTGAAAACCACTTATGTCGGACAGGTATAGAAACTAAAAGATAATTAAAATTGTCAACATCGGTTTATCCAGCCAAGAGGAACTAGAATGCAAAATTACTTTACAGCAATGCAGCTCTGGCGAAACGTTGACAGATTTGGCCCTCTCCCACACGAATGCTGCATATGTTGGCTTGTAGCAGCCATCGTTTCTAGCAAATCAAGTCTGGTGTTATCAGACTTGGACACATGCGTACTAGTAATATTAGGGAGTCCCTACAGAGAAGTAGAGAACGACCAAGATTTTGCACTTTTGCTGGCATATGTGAAGACATAACTCCCGAATATACTTGTTGGCTGTTTATCTCCAATGTATCTACTATCTAGCAATATGCAGGCTCATTTTGCTGGGAGAAAATCGCGAGCTATAAATATGCATGCAATGCAGCGTTTTCTCTTGCAAGAGCTGCTTAGACAGGAGTAGTTGCTACGAGTACTTGCTAGGAAGAAACTGCAGTGTGCTCTGTTCCAAAGAGTAGTGATGGCTTCTGCCTCTTCTCTTGGCCTATTACTGATGCTCGCGGCGCTGGTCTCCACGGCCACCGCGCATTTGTCGCCGACGTTCTACGACACGTCGTGCCCCCGAGCCATGTCCATCATCAAGAGCACCGTGACGGCCGCCGTGAACAACGAGCCACGCATGGGCGCGTCTCTGCTCAGGCTGCACTTCCACGACTGCTTCGTCCAAGCACGTTTCCATCTCACAAACCACCCTGTTTTTTTTTTTTACTTTGATTTAAGGCCGAAAAGTAGCTAACAGGTTTGCCTGTCTGTCAGACTACGTGAGTTAGCAGCGTTGCAAGAAAATAATCGTGGCTTAATTTTTGTCTGAATCAACACAGGGCTGTGACGCCTCAATTTTGCTGGCCGGAAACGAGAGGAATGCAGCCCCAAACTTTTCTGTCAGAGGCTACGACGTCATCGACAGCATCAAGACGCAGATCGAGGCCGTGTGCAAGCAGACCGTCTCCTGCGCCGACATCCTCACCGTCGCCGCCCGCGACTCTGTCGTCGCGGTAACCATGCATGCATATATCAACGACACAAGATATCGAGCTCGCGATTACGAATTCTGTGATGCTGAATTGCTTTATTTGGTTTTTAATTTGGCATGCAGCTTGGAGGTCCGTCATGGAGTGTTCCGCTAGGGAGAAGGGACTCCACCGGAGCCGCTACCGCGGCCCAGGTGATTAGCAGCCTTGCTCCTTCTACAGATAGCCTCGCACAGCTCATCAGCGCGTACGCGAGCAAGGGACTTAGCGCCACTGACTTGGTTGCTCTCTCAGGTGCACACAATATATATAACTCCTCGATCGATCTCCTAATCAACCATGGAAGTGTAGTAAACAACAGCTTGTGTTGAAATTTGAAAACGATATGTTTTTGTTTCAATTATGCAGGTGCGCACACGATTGGTATGGCACGGTGCAGGGGCTTCAGGACGAGGCTATACAACGAGACCAACATCGACGCCGCCTTTGCGGCGGCGCTCAAGGCCAACTGCCCGGCGACGCCGGGCAGCGGCGACGGCAACCTGGCGCCGCTGGACACGACGACGCCCACCGCGTTCGACAACGCCTACTACCGCAACCTGCTGTCGAACAAGGGGCTCCTGCACTCCGACCAGGAGCTGTTCAGCAACGGCAGCACGGACAACACGGTCAGGAGCTTCGCGTCCAGCGCGGCGGCGTTCGGCGCCGCCTTCGCGACGGCCATGGTGAAGATGGGGAACATCTCGCCGCTGACCGGGACACAGGGACAGATCAGGCTCATCTGCTCCGCCGTCAACTCGTGATCTGATCGACCGGTTTGTATATATCCAGACGCTGGGCACTCGACAACATGATTAATTACCAGTGCACGAATGCATCAAGGAAAGAATTCCAGTTGCAATTAATTACAGGTGAAACATACTACTCCGTCTTAGAAAGAATCCAATCCTAACAATGAATCTTGACACATGTTCGTTATTAGGATTGGATTTTTTTTTTTTTGGAACGGAGGAGGTACGCTCGTATTAGCATACGCAATTATAGTCCTTTAAAATCGTAGAGCATTCAGTGAAGATGTCACCGAGAATGTCACGGGGAATGTTACTGAATCTGCGTCCGTTTATTAGCAGGTTTGCATGCTTCTTGATCTGTACCGACTTCTCTCTCCAATACAAAATCCACTCCTGTTACAAGTTATTTTTTCCCTCTCTCTTTTTTTTTGAGAGAGAGAGGACTCCCGCTCTTGCAATCTTGCTAGACCTGTTCGTCCTCCATCTTGCAGTAGCAAGATTTTTTGTTTTCTGGATTGCCGTCGGCCGGTGACCACACGCGCGCCGCCGGCGCGAGTTAAGATATCTCCACCGCCTCGGCGATATTTTGCTCCACGTTGCAAAGGCCCGTGAAGGTGACGATTTGGCCCATCTATGCCGGTGAGCGTGCTACGTGGTGGATGGGGCGTGGGCCGGCTTATTTTCGCGGCGCAAAGGCCTACTCTTTACTTGGCAGGCTGCCACTACTTCGGCCCATTAAAATTCACCAGCGGCAGAAATTGAAATGCTTTTTTTTGGCGGGTAGAAAATGAAATGATTTGTTTTTACAGGAAAAAAAATGAATTGAAAACTAAAAAAAGCTGTCAACGTCGTTTTAAACATTCTGAAGGTGAAAGGAAAGCAAAATGACTGCACAACGGTCAGAAAAGGAGAGAATTATCTTGGACAAATGCTGACCAATCGATTCATCTAGGGTTGTGTTTCGTCTGTTAGTACGGAGTTCCACACCGAGTGCACATCCGGTGGATTATGTTGGACCTGCACTTGTCATGAAATATATTGGGTGAATGTTTCTCGTATACGTCCTTTTTTCATTTTCTTCGCGAACCCTTTATGTTTTTTCTTCTTCTAAATCATCATTCATATGCTGCTGGACACGATATTGTAAATACATGTGTTTGTATTTCCAGTATTTGATTTCAGTTTAAGAATCATAATGAGTGCTTAAATTTTGACTAATTGTTTCTGCCATTCTTCTCGAGGACAGTCCATATATTTGAACTAATCTAGATTCTGAACGGTGAAGTTTTACCTGTATATTGAAAATTCTCCAAAAAAAATTGACAACATTCACAACATATATATGAACTACTCTAAAAAAAATCAAGTAAAGACTCAACTCACACATTGAGAAATGAAATTAAAAAACAAATCCAGCATTAATTGGTACTATTCACATATGAATTTGTCTTTTTATTTCTCAATGCGCGGATCAAATTTGAATATAATTTTTGGTAGAATGGTATATGCTGTTTATACTCTACATTAGTAATTTTTTAAATAATTTTACAACTATTTATATTAAATATAAAAGAAAAGGTTATACGCGTTGATATTCTCTCGGGGGATTAGAATCCCTCTTCCGTGAAAGTAACTTACAACTTCAGATTCTTCTGAATCTTTGCTGATCAACTAGTATAATGTACGGGTGTACAGATTCTGATTAATCACAAACAGATACTGAGAGCAGAAGAAATATCAATATATTGTCATTACAACTTAATTCAGTACTGGCCTTGATTGGCTGCGATTGCTGCTACAGACGCTGTGGCTGAGGTAGTTGAACCGTTGCAAGCTACAGCCATTTTGAACTGCCGCAATAACGGCTGTTATGGTAGCAATCACATCCGAACATGCCCACGTATGTGATAGATCGAAATGGCAATGGAGTTCGGCCCCAGCTTAACTGAAATGAACTCTGCTTGATTGCATGGCAGACAAACTCATTATCATGGATGCGAGAGCTGAACATTCAACTGTTACATGGTTTAAGGCGAGGCGTGGTGTCCTAACTGTTAGGACATTCTCTTGGATCAGTGTCACAACAGTTACTGTTCTGGTGCTACCTACAGTAGTAGTGCACTGTACTGTTATTTGTTTCCTACGAGTATATACTGGTAGCCCAAAGACTGTTTAGTGAAATGGATGACCAGGGATGGTGGCTGTTCTGTTCTCCTCACTCCGTTTTTTAATAGATGACACCGTTGACTTTTTCTCACACGTTTAATCATTCGTCTTATTCAAAAATTTTATACAAATGTATAAGATATAAATCACACTTAAAATACTATGAGTGATAAAACAACTCATAACAAAATAAATTATAATTACGTAAATTTTTTGAATAAGACAAATGGTCAAACATGTAAGAAAAGAAAGTCAACGGCGTCATCTATTTAAAAAACGGATGTAGTATTCCACACTTTTCCACTCACTTGCTCATAGAAAGTTCACGAACACAGCTGTAACTAAAGTGACAAAGCCATGTTACGCCATTGTTTCACAGACTTTTCCTGCAAGCGATGCCTGACAATTCCAAGGATATACTATAATTTTGCCCGGTGAAAGAGGGAAGCAGGGGTTAGTGTTGGCGGTTGCAATTTAAGTTGGGCGCTGTCACCCGATCATGTCTCTCTTGGGTGCATGCAAGCCAAATTACTTCACCACACAACGTGAGCACGTCGAATGCCAACACACGTTGGTCAATACTGTTCATACCCACGATCAAAATGGCTGCACAACGACAGTGGATTGTGAGGACTAACCCTGGACTGGTAAGGCATCAAATCTGAATGTTTTGTCTCTGCTGGAGAAGTACAGAGATATGCAGGTAACCAAGTGGGCTAATTAAATCTCTAGCTATAAATATGCATGGGATGCAGCACTCTCCTCGCAAGCCACAGCCAAGTGCAGATAGCTCATTGCTAGGCAGAGATAAACGTATATATCTTTGGTTAATTGTTAGCTTAGCGATGGCCAAAGCAACTTGCATTTCCTTGCTTGTGGTCGTGGCTCTGGCCACCGCGGCGTCGGCGCAGCTGTCGGCGACGTTCTACGACACGTCGTGCCCCAGAGCCATGTCCATCATCAAGAGCGCCGTGACCGCCGCCGTGAACAGCGAACCCCGCATGGGCGCGTCGCTGCTCAGGCTGCACTTCCATGACTGTTTTGTCCAAGCAAGTTCCACACATAACCAGCGCCTTTGTTCCATTTTGACTTAAACGTTACTGCAGTATATCTCTAGTCAAGCAACTTGAGTGATATTTGAATTGAACTAGAAAAGTTAAATATATATTGTACATGTGTGCATGCAGTTAGATGACATGTTCAGACAAATAACCATATATTGTACATGTGTGCATGCAGTTAGATGACAATTGACAAGCAAGACAAATAACCATACATTCTTCCTGTTTGACTAACTGTACAGGGTTGTGACGCGTCTGTTCTGTTGTCGGGAAACGAGCAGGATGCTCCTCCAAACAAGGATTCTCTTAGAGGCTACGGCGTCATCGACAGCATCAAGGCGCAGATAGAGGCCGTGTGCAATCAGACCGTCTCATGCGCCGACATCCTTACCGTCGCCGCCCGTGACTCCGTCGTCGCTGTAAGATCACTTTCCCTGCATGCATAGCCTGCACGCTTGGTCTCGAACTCTCCTCTCGATCGATTCCTGTATGGTTGTACGTGGGAAACGGATCCTCTAACGTGAACTTCTTCCTAACGTGATCACTAACAGTAACAGGTGAGCCCGTCAGTGGTGGAACTCATATATCAGTTATCACGTTCCTCTGGTTTTACGTCAGATGATCCCGATCCATATATATGACATTATTAGGCTTCGGCTTTTGTACTTAACCAATGGAGTAATAATCATATGAACGCGCATGCAGCTGGGAGGGCCAACGTGGACTGTCCCGCTGGGGAGAAGGGACTCTACAGGTGCAAGCGCGGCGCTCGCGATCAGCGACCTCCCTCCTTTTACCGCTAGCCTCCAAGAACTCGTAGACGCATTCGCCAAGAAGGGCCTTAGCGTAACCGACATGGTTGCTCTCTCAGGTAAAGATCCACCATATATGCTCACAAACCATCAAACCAAGCAAGCTTAATTTTCTGCACTCCTATTTCAGGCGCGCACACGATCGGGCAGGCGCAGTGCTCAACCTTCAGGGGCAGGATCTACAACGAGACCAACATCGACTCGGCCTTCGCGACGCAACGCCAGGCCAACTGCCCACGGACATCCGGCGACATGAACCTGGCGCCGCTGGACACGACGACGGCGAACGCGTTCGACAACGCCTACTACACCAACCTGCTGTCGAACAAGGGCCTCCTGCACTCGGACCAGGTGCTCTTCAACAACGGCAGCACGGACAACACGGTGAGGAACTTCGCGTCCAACGCGGCGGAGTTCAGCAGCGCCTTCGCGACGGCCATGGTGAACATGGGGAACATCGCGCCCAAGACGGGAACAAACGGCCAGATCAGGCTCAGCTGCTCCAAGGTGAACTCGTAAGCGAGTACCCTGCAGACACTGCAGTAAGTAGTAACAACGTTTGTAGCAGTATATGCAGTTATGCACGTATAAGACGATGGAGTGCGTGAAAAAATAAGGACCCCCACAACCACTACGACTGAATGAATAGCAATGTGTACGTGGAGATGTGGTACATGCAGATTTGCCTTGCTCTGTTTCTTGTTCCATCTGTATGTGCATGGAATACAGAGGACAGAGGGGCATATGCATGGCGTATATGTAACGAAATTTCTGGTGCAAAGGCACGGAGGATTATACTATACTCATCTTCTAAATATTATTCCTACAAGCTACTAGTATTCCACACGAGAGACCGAGAGACCCATCAGAAGGGATCAGAATGCGTGTGGCTGGGCTGCTGGGTCATCTCCACATGAGACATTTTTTATTGGGCCGTGAACTTTCTCGTTCGTAACATGTCGGTGCTTCTATGAAAAAGCCCAGTATAACTGGGTCACGTCCCATTAAGGAAGTAGCTCATTCACACTAGTACTCCTGTGTCCACCGTCGGATCCGAGTTTCAAAAATAAAAGGGAAAGGTCTGAACAGATATTAAATTTTTGGTTGAAATGGAACATAATTTTCAAAACAATTCAAATACAAGAGCAGGCCATCACAAAATCAGAAGTACATGCAAGCACACCCTTCAAGAAATCAGCAGCTACCACAGGTGCCATGCAAATTCGTGGCGATGACTCGTGTCGTGTGTCGCTTGACCACACCAGGATCGATCGATCACTCACTGGTTAACAACCCGGCAGTTCTCCCTGATCTCGCCGTCGTCGCCGGTGAGCGGGCTGATGTTGCCCATCTTCACCATGGCGGCGCCGAAGTCCTCCCAGAACTTGTCCGGGTTCTCGCCGTAGTACTTGACCAGCTCGTCGCTGTCGCCGCCGCCGCCGCCCTGGTACAGCTGCTGGTCCGTGTGCAGCAGCGCGCGGCCCTGCGTGAGGCCCTGGTAGTAGTCGGTGTCCACGGTGGTCGGCGTGTCGTCCAGCGAGGCGAGCGCCTCGTCGTCGCCGACGATGGGGCACTGCTCCTCGAGCGCCGCGGCGTAGGCCGGGTCCAGCGTGTCGGTCTCGTTGTAGAGGCGGCTGCGGAAGAAGAGGCAGCGGGAGTAGCCCAGCGTGTGGCCGCCGGAGAGCACGACGAGGTCCTGCAGCGACAAGCCGTGGGACTCGAAGTTGTCGACGAGGTCCGGGAGGTCCATGAACGGGTTCGGGATGTCGTCGTTCGCGTCGTCGATGCTCGCCGTCGTCGCGTCGCGCCGCCCCAGGAGCACCTCGTACGAGCTTCCCCCGAGCTGCAAACAAAATGAATCGTACGTGTCACGTTGCATTGACATCAGGGTCTGTTTAGTTCCCTAAACTCCCAAACAAAATTTTTCGTGCTGTCACATTAAATGTTTGACATATGTATGTAGTATTAAATGTAAAAAAAATCAGTTACATAGTTCGCCAGAAAATTATGAGACGAATCTTTTAAGTCTAATCGCGTCATGATTTGACAATGTTGTGCTACAATAAATATTTGCTGATGACGGATTAATTAGGATTAATAAATTCGTCTCGCAGTTTCCTGACATAATCTACAATACGTAAAAGTGGTTGTGCCTTATATTTTACGATGGATGGAGTATTAGACTACGTTTAATACTTCAAATATATATCTATATATCCGATGTGACATGCAGGGGCAAATTTTTTTGCCAACTAAATAAACCCTCATTTTGGCCTCACCAAGTCAACAGGATCAGGATGTGCCGCAGTTTTTCAGATAAGTGAATCACGACTCATTCTCTTGTGAAAATGATGTCATGAAAGCCGGTTATTGGGTTTAGGTTGAAGAAAGATTTTCAAAAGGAGCATGGTTTGTCTTATGGTCGATGACGTTGCCCTGTTCGATAGATAGCTTTCTACTACTAGTAGTACCTTTCAATCGACAGTATGTGTAACGTGGATAAGTTTTACACTTGTACTGAACTTACCGCGACGATTGAATCACGAGCAGCAACTGCCAAGATATCAGCGCAGGAGACAACATTCCCCAAGCAGGCCGTGTTCACCGCCACCTTGATGGCGTCGATCACGTCGAACCCTCTCAATGACATGTTGTTCGGCTTCGCCAGCTTCTCCCCGATCATGTCGTCGGTGTCGTCCAGCAGAACGGAGCCATCACAACCCTGCATCACGTTCGTTCATCACCAAAACATCTCATCTGCTTGTAAAATCTGCAGCAATTAACCACTAAGTTGAAGCGTGCATGATTTAGTAGCTAGCTCACATTGACGAAGCAGTCATGGAAGTGCATCCGGACCAAGGACGCGCCCATCCTCGGCTCCTTCAAGATGGCGGCGCCGACGACGAGCTTGATGGTCGTCAGCGCCTGCGGGCACGTCTCGCTGTAGAAGTCCGGGGTGAGCTCGCCGGAGCCGGAGGCCGACGCAAAAGCCGCGGCCATGACGGCGAACACAACAAGAAATGGCGCCATTTTTGGCAAGCTGCTACTACTGCTTCCAGTACCAGCGATTAGCTAGTGAGATGGTCGAATGTGCTGGTTTGGAGTGTGATGCTGATGAGACTGTGTGCTTATATAATGGGCTAAATATGTGCGATTGACCCGTCACTATTAGCCAGGTTAACAACCGGTGCTTTTTTTCGGTGTATGATAGAGATCTAATGCAAATCCAGGCTTTCAGAATGCGTCAATGCGAGGCTTGTCAAAGAAGAGATCAGTTTCTTCTCCATCTTATCAATTACCAAATTGTGACAGGCATGTAAAGTGCTACTGGTTTCTTGCGAGTAATGCCGACCTCTTTACAGGATTTTTCTTTGTTTATTTTCTGAAACATAATACAGGCTTTTTCTTAACAAAATGTTACTTATTACACGGATATTTACCTGATGAACCTTTTTGGTACCGAATTGAATATGAGCCATCGTCCATAAGTAAAATAATGAGGAACTACTTTTGTTAAGCAAGTTTGTTAGCATAGTTTTCTTGCAGAAACCAGCAAAATCGACTGATCATATCCTCCTTTATAATGAGCCAGTTTAACACGATAAGAAACCATCCGAACGCTATAATCTATGCTCCAGCACTGCGTATAAAATGCTTTATGGAACAGCTGTTTTTGGGTTGTTTTGCAGGTTAATAAACTGCCACTGCTTTAGAACAGAGGCATGTATCAAGGCGATGCTTGACCTAATCAATGGATCACAATCACACGGTTTGGTCAATCACTTGCCGCAAATATTTAAACGCGTGCTTTAGACATAGGTTGAAACTTGAAATATTTCTCTCTGTTTCCTCCTTGGAATAAGTTCACTTTGGGTCCCTCAATTTGTCACCCAGTCTGATTTTCATCCATTGATCGTAAAACCGGGTACGACTGGTCCCCCAACTTACGAAACCGTTTAAATAAGGTCCCTGGGCAGTATTTGACCCCTGTTTTGGCTAAGGTGGCGCCTACGTGGCTAATTTGACTTGGTCTTCATCTGACGTGGCAGTGACGTAGCGCTTACGTGGCAATTCGATAAAAAAAATAATAAAACCTACAGGACCCACATGTCAGTTTCACACACACACACACACTAATGGACCCCACCTGTCATTCTCACTACCCCTTCTCTCTATCCCCTCCCTCTTCTCTCTCCATCCGGAGCGGTGGGGGTGGCAGCGGCGGAGCGGCAGGGAGGAGTGGCGGCGGCCGGAGTGGGTGGGGAAGGAGCGGCGGCCGCCGAAGTGGGGTGGGCAAGGAGCGGTGGCGGTCGGAGTGGGACGGGCAGGAGCGGGCAGGGCACCTGGCGGCGACAGCCCCCGCACCCGCGACCTCCCTCGTGGCGCGTCGATCCATGGGTCCCCCGCCGCCGCGTCGCGAAGCCAGAGCACGGCGGAGACGTAGGCGGCGGGGAGGCAGTGCTCAGGCGCGAGGCGGTAGTCGAGGGAGATGACGATGGCTGGCACGGCCGCGGCCATGGCCTCGCACGAGGCGTGGTAGAAGACGCTGCCGGTGGAGAAGAGGACGAAGCCACCGCCGTGGAAGTAGACAATGACAGGGAGCTTTGACGCTGGCGGCGGTGGCGGGACGAGGTTGGGGAGGTGTCGAGGGAGGCGTCGAGCGGCCCGTCGCGGGAGAGGACAAGGCCGGTGGCAGACGGCGGCGCGTCGGGGACGAAGGGGCGCGTGATGGTGCCGCCCGGGTGAAAGAAGGGGAAGGGGAAGCTCCTCGCTCCGGCGGGCGGCCGCTGACGAGCTTGGTGGCGGTGGAGAAGAGAGGGGCGACGGCGAGGTTTTATTCTCCTCTCTCCCCTCCCTCTTTCTCTAGATCCGCGCACCGCTCCGCTGCTGCCGGCGGCGTCGAAGAGCGTGAGGAGGCGACAGTGGTGGAGGCTAGTTGCGGCGGAGGGCGTGCGCCGCTTCCTCTCCCGTCGGCGCCGCCGCGTGCCGCTCCCTCTCCATCACGCGTGAGAGAGGAGGGGAGAGAGATGAAGAAAGGGGAAAGAGGAGGAAGAAGGGGGAGGAGTGAGGATGACATGTGGGGCCCACGTAGGTCCCACTTTTTTTATTAATTTATGTGTGAAACTGATATGTGGGTTTCACAAGGTTTATTATTTTTCTTAGATCAAATTGCCACGTAAGCACCACGTCTGTGCCACGTCAAATGAAGACCGAGTCAAATTAGCCATGTATGCGTCACGTCAGCCAAAACCACTATCAAAACCGCCGAGGGACCTCGTTTACCCATTTTCGTAAGTTGGGGGACGGGTTGTATCCAGTTTTACGGTTCAGGGACGAAAATCAGACTGGACGACAAATAGAGGGACCTAAAGTGAACTTATCCCTTCTCCTTTATGTTGATTTCGGACCATCAGGCCCCTGTATCGATACTCTGTGGGCCTTTTATGGCCTGTCAGCAGGCTCTTTTACGGCCGTATATCCCGTCCCGTTGTAGGGCCGAAAGCGGAACATTCCGGCCCATTTACTGCAAAATCTCATAATCTAAAGCTGGCACTTTTGCTAGCTTTTGATTGGTCCACTTGGCGCCTCTTACCTTGGAGAAAAATTATAAATTTATACTAGAGAACAAACACCTAACAATCATATGTGAGAAAAAATCTAGAGAAAAATATCACATATAGATTCGGCTTCCAGATCTTCTCTTTCCAACCACACGAACTTCTACTCCCTTGTCTTCTATAAATATACCACGCCTACTCGGTACTACTCCTATAACTCTACAATATATAATAAACCTAAAATTATTAAGAAAAAACAAATCTAAAATAACGAATTTACATTCATTTTCCTTCTTTAAATATCCTACGTCTACTCGGTACTATTCATATAACTCTAGAATATACGGTAAACCCAACATTATTATGCAAAAAAAATCCAAAACAAAGAAAAAAAGAAAATCTTGTTTTCTTATATCACAGAATAGGATCATTAATACCTACTCAGCTAAAAAATGATTGTGTTTTTTTGTTACACAGGATATGTTAAAAAAACTCTAAATATAATAAATAATTGATCTTTCAAAAATTTAAATCCACAAGTAAATATATTTGAACCAATTAATTCTGATGAATCTTAAAATTTATTTTACTTGTTTGAATTCATCAGAATTTATGCATAAAATGACACATTAAATTTAGTACAACTTTGGCCTATAAACTATGAATAGCAGGAATCATTTGAAAAACACATTTTTCTTACTTCCAAGCAATAGAAAAATCAAATAGAGCCGCATATGATCTTGCTGAATATAAGTAACTTCAATTTTAGGACTAAAGGCAGCACTACTTTACAATTTCAGAGATCAAGTACTTTACAATTTTAGAGATCAAGCAGTTCATAATTATGCAGCAACCCAAATTTAGACTCTCAATGCCGTGCTTTCACATGCGTGTCCCTGTCTCGGTCATTGCATAGTCATGTTGTATTTGAAGTCGCGGTATGAGTGCAGCCATGAAATTTATGTCTCTGGTGAGACGAGTATTGCGGCAATAGTGCAGCACAAACCAATCGTCAATCGTGCTAAAAATACAAACATATTTACCACAATAAATAAGATAAAAATAATATAAAAAAGTTGAACTAGATTTGCATCTTACCTGCAACGATATACCCTCATGCACAGGCATAAGTTGAGTTGTAGAGAGAACTCCATAATCGCACATTGGGAATGTTGTTATTGACCTAATATCAAAATAGCAATTTGTATAAAAAAAACTTATTTTCTATTCAAAACTTCATTCAGTGGCCATTATTTAAAAATGTTTTTCTTTTTAGGATAGATTACATAAAAATCGATAAATTCATAGTTTGCAAGGAATTACCTAGGCGACGACTAGTACATAATCCCGTGGGCGCATTTCTTTTTTAGATAGATTACATAAAAATCGATAAATTGATAGTTTGTAAGGAATCGCCTAGGCGACGACTAGTACATAATCCCATAGACGCATTTCACGACTAAAGTATTCTGTGGGCCATATACGGCCCAATTATGAGGAAGTTAGGCCTTACGGTCTAATAAATCGACGCGTGCATGATGAACTTTCATGAAAACGCTTCGTGTAAGACATTCGACCGTGTTCGGCCCCACCATCATTTACCCATCTCTTATGGGATCATCTGTACATTTGTCGACAAATTTTCTCCTAAAAATTTCGCATCCAATTATAGTACAATCGTGATGTGATTATATTGTAACTTGTATATAACTCTTAACAATCTCTTCGTAACATGCTATTTTGGTGAAACGGAGATCGTGGGAATGAATCCTCTCACATGTGTGCGTGTAGTGACTTTTTTCCTTCTTCACTTGCACATGAAACAAATCTAATGGTTCAAAATTGTTGGAACAAAGTCTAAAATGCATGGCAAGGGCCCTCTCCTCTATAGGAGAGAGCCCATGCTTGAGTTCTTTAGGAGAGAGGTTGAGAGAAAGAGGATAAAGTTTGGATGGCCGAGAATGGAGTGGGGGTGTGGGGGGGAGATCCTCTTGTCCTTGGAGGGCTTATTTTATTCATATGTAACGGGAAATTACATCTTTACCCTTAATTTACTATATATGTACAACATCCTCTTGGGGGTATTTTAATCCTTTTATACATTAGTTTATACGACACTCTAAGTATGTGGTTATTCCCCAACAAGAAATATGTGAAAGTTACATGCAAGTTGCATTATAGTTACATGTAAGTTACAATGTAATTACATGTAAGTTACAGTGTAATTATACTATGATAGTACTTAATTACATCTGTCAAATTTTTAAGAGGAAATTTATAGACAAATATATAGCAAAATTGTCTCTCTTTCACGCGATTTCCATCTAACACATCAAGCCTCTTTGACCCCTTCCCTATCTCTCTCTATATTTTTCGTCGGCCTGACATAGGGGGCCCAAGGTCGTTTGTTGCCATCCCCACAATCTCCGGTGAGCGACCAAAGATTGAAAGATCTTACAATAAGGGAGACAGATCCATTTGTCAGAGTGGAGGAAGGATGCAGGAGGTAGGCCATATCTTATTTTTTCTTTTTGGAGCTTTTTGTGAGGATGTTGCAAGCTATTATTTTCCCATGCATGTTACGCCTTGGTGTAATTGAATGTTTTACTATATTTTAATTGTATGTTGCGCACTTTAATTCTTAGGTGTTGCGACTAGCTTATTTAAATATTGCATTTGGTTGAACATTTTTCTCTAACCGCTGAAACATTTTTACCGAATATTGAAACATCTTAAATATTTTTATTGTAACATTTCGGTGAAACATCTAAAACATTTTTGTACGGACGTCTGGGCCTTGCTCCTCTCCGGACTTTCAAGGTTAGTGCTGTAGAACTCTGGAACTAACATGCGGCTGATTAAATGAGTTGATGGGCAGCTTAATTACGGCCCGCCTGTTTAGCCAATTGATACTCAGCTCACATACGGCCTAATTAAGTTAGATTAACTAGATAAAAGAACATCCAACACAGGGGCCCAGCTCCCAGCTAGTAGTACTCAGTACTCGTCTCGATGCTACGAAACCCCACCTTACAGAAGCGTAAAACTGCGTAAGCCCATCAGGACTGGGCCCACATGGCAGATAAGCATGGCCCGAGTTCGTAGTAAATCCCCCAAGTCCTGCACGGGGTGATCACATCAACAGTGTGTTCCTCAAGGAGCGTTGTCACGCTACAACGTGATGGTGGCGCGCCACGGCGGAGAAATGGCACTCACTGTTTCCTCGTGACGTGCGCCAAAACAGGCTCGCCACGGCACGCCCCTTGCCGCCGGGGAAATGAATGATCCAGGGCGGCAGCAGAGTACCAGACCCTAAGCTTCAGACGCGGCCCCATCTACAGCCACTGTTTCGCAATGCTTAGAAAGATGGCAGCCTGAAATAATTGAACTCGTTCGGCCGGGCCAACCCGGCAGAGAAAAAAAGGGATTATTGAACTCCAAAAGTGATCAAATGCGGTGGAGCAGAGCTCTCGTGAGTCTAATCCCGCAACGAGAACGCATATGAATAATGGTTTTGCGGCGGGTGCGTTCTGCAATGACAGGCCAACGGTCAAAGCATCCCAACTCCCGCCTCCTCCTCGTCTAAAACCACTCGCTTCCAAACAATCCAAACCTTCCATGCCATTTGGCATTTTTGGCTTTGCTTCTCTTCTCTTCCTTTGCTTTGGCTCTTCCCCAAAATCACAAGACCCAAGAAAGAAAGAGAGAGAGACAAAACAACAGATCATCTTTGCAGCACTGTATTGGCACTGTACCGCTCGACATGAACGGCGAGGAGGCTCCGGCCGGGAGCGGCGGCGGCGGCGGTGGAAGGGCGGAGATCGACACGTCGGCGCCCTTCGAGTCGGTGCGCGAAGCCGTCGACCACTTCGGCGGCGGCGCCGCCGCCGTCTGGAGCTCCTGCCTCGTCAACCGCATGCTCACTCCCCCGAAGGTGACGCCTCCTACAGTAATCTTCCCAATATTCGTGCTTCGTTCTCCATTTCTCCCAAGTCCAAACACCGTGCTGTTGAGTGTCGAACGAACTGTTAATGTTTCAGTACAGTTGGGAGTGTTTTGTACTACTAGTTTTGTCCTCGTTGTATTAGCAAAATCAGCTTGCAAATCTGCATCAGTATTTGTATGCTCCCTTTTGTCTTATGCTACTAATCCGATTGCAGGAACATGACCAGATGAATGGGCAGACCTTGCAGCTAGAGAAGGAGCTCATCATCAAGGAAAGCCAGACGCTTGATGTGCTCAAAGAATTAGAGTCCTCCAAAAGGATCATTTCGGACTTGAAGCTAAAAGTGCAGAATGATTCAGCCATCACTGGACACCCGGGCCAAACTGAAGCACCAGGTGCAGGGCCTGAGGAGAGGCGCTCTTCTGAAAATGTTGAAACTGATGGGGAATTGGGTGGCCTGGATTCACAGAATCTGCAGCCTCCAAGTTCAGTGCTAATGCAGCTTGAGCAGGCAAAAGCGTACTTGACCAGAACCACAGCTGATCTAGCCGAGATAAGAGCCTCCGTTGAGTCGCTGTGCAATGAGATAGCAAAAGAGAAAATCTTGGTGGAGAGAAGTCGAGAGAAGGTTTGCTCCAACACATCCTTGATCTCTTCGCTGGAGGGTGAATTGGATCGCACTACACATAAGCTGCAAACGCTGAATGATAGGCAAAGAAGGCGCGAGGATTCGTCACACATTCTGATGGAGATCAAGAAGGTGACATCAGAGATAGAGCAGCTCAAGAGCGCATCAAATGCATCGAAATCTGAAGCTACGATGTTGGCTGCCGAAATTGAGCAGACAAAGGCAAGCATTGCAACCGCTGAGGTGAGGTGTCTTGCAGCCAAGAAGATGGAAGATGCAGCAAGAGCAGCAGAAGCTCTTGCACTTGCTGAGATCAAGGCCCTACTTAGCGGTGAAGCTTCAGCTGGAGATCTCCAGGGTACTGATGGAGTGAACTTGTCCTTGGAAAAGTATTTTGAGCTTGCTTCAAAAGCTCAAGAGTGTGACGTCAGCTCGAGGAAGAAGATTGAAGCGGCAATGTTGCAGGTGGAAGAAGCCAACCGATCAAAATCCAACTCGCTCAACAAGCTGGAGGAAGCTAAATTGGAATTTGAGAAATGCAAAATTGCACTGCAGGATGCTCTGAAGAGGGCACACGCTGCCAATCGGGGGAAGCTCGCAGTGGAAGAGTCTGTTCGTAGATGGCTATCTGAGAGTGGCTACAAGAGGCACTCATTTCATGATTCTTCCAAGTTAAAAAATGCAGCAGATATCACTGACGTTTCAAAGAGCTTCTTGAAGCCAACACTGTCAATTGGGCAGATATTGAATCTGAAGCTAATGGGACCTGATGGGTATGACAAAAGCGTTTGGGATGATACAACTGAAGCTTCAAATGTTTCACTTGGTCAGATCCTGAACCGGAGGAATGCTGTTTTCTGTAACAGTGATATAACTTCTCAGAAGATATTGTCAGGAAAAAGGAAGAAATTTGCCTTCACAGGGCTTTCAGTTTTGTTGGCAAAACAAGCCAAGAGGCAAGAGCAAGAGAAATAGAGGATCAGATTAGAGCCTATCTGCCCAAGGTTTACCTAAGCCTGAAACAGTAGGTGATGAATGTTGTGACCACTATTTCCATGTTCATGTATGTTAGTTGGTTCTGGCCCTGCGTCCTCTGAATCTGTTATTGCCCTCTCACACATGATTTCTCTAGGATGACTGGTTGCGGATTAGGAACGTAAAACTGACGGTATTGCAGTCCTTTCTATAAATTTGCAACTATGCTTAACATGAGTGAGGCCACAAGATGAGCTGTTAGTACTTTCCCATGCTTGATTTTAACCGTTCATATTGTGTGCAATTATTAATCCCTAATAATTACTATAAGTCTAAACTTTAACTTATTTATTACCCACCAAATATAGGTATTGCTAATTATTCTTGCTCATGATTGTTACCTACAAGTGTCCGTAGAAACGTGCGAAGTTACACATAGTTGGAACCACAAAGTTTTATCACGTACTGCGTGCTTTTGAAGTATAGCGAAATGCATTTCTTGTGGCCCTTAATAGTACTTGTGTTCAGAATTAATAGATATAAAGACTTGAAGTCGAGCAAAAATCATACCGTCGATATGTCCGAGTGGTTAAGGAGACAGACTTGAAATCTGTTGGGCTACGCCCGCGCAGGTTCGAACCCTGCTGTCGACGCATGATTTTTTGTCCCTCAACTAGCTAATTTAACTCGGTCTTCAGACGTGACAATTCGATCCGAAAAAACAATAAAACCCGTGGATCCGAAAAAACAATAAAACCTGTGGAACCCACATGTCAGTCTCACACAGAAAATAATAAAAAAATGGTGGGCCTCACATGTTAGTCCAACTCACCCCTCCTCTTCTTCCTCCTCACTCCCCCATCTCCCCTCTCTTCATCTCTCTCTCCTCTCCTCTCCTCAGACGACGGAGAGGCAGCGGCACGCGGTGGCAGTGCGGTCGGACAGTGGGGCCTATGCGGAGGAGCTCGGACGAGCGACGACGGCGCCGGTGCAGCGGGGCGCGGCTGAGCGGCGGCTCGACGCGAGCGTGGCCGTGCGGCGGCGCCGGCCCCGGCGCGGGTACAGCGCGGGTCGCGGCCTCAACGGTGCGCAAGGGCAACGGTGCCGATGCGGAGGAGCTCGGCCTAGCGACGGCGGCGCCGATGCGGTGGGGCGCGGTTGGAAAGAACAACACGGAATCAATCGACACCAAATTTTTATCGTATTTCTTTTATGCTGTTTTTCCTTCTCTACGTTTTGCTCCTCCCGATCTACTGCAGGCAGCTGTCATCGTCATCGTCGTCTCTCCGGCCGGCTGGTGGTGACGCTGCCTCGAAGCAGCTGCTGGCTGCTGCGTAGATGCACACGCAGCAGCGTTGCTGCATGAGTTAGACGCAGCAGCAGGTGAATTTTTGTGTTGCTTTCCTGGGATAAATTTTGGTGGCAACATTTTCTTCTTCTTTCCTCGGTTCTCTTCTTCTTCCTATGGCGCCGGTCGCCGTGGAGTGGCGCTCGCGGCTGCTCGGGCGGCGCGGCTCCTCCGGCCATGCGCCCCACCGCATCGGCGCTGTCGTCGCTCGGCCGAGCTCCTCCGCATCGGCACCACTGCCCTTCCGCACCCCCGAGGGCGCGACCCGCGCTGTGCCCGCGCCGGGGCCGGCGCCGCCGCACGGCCACGCTCGCGCGGAGCATCCACTCAGTCGCGCCCCGCCGCATCGGCGCCGCTGTCACTCGGCCGAGCTCCTCCGCATAGGCACCGTTGTCCGGCCACATCGCCGCTGCCTCTCCGTCGCCTGATGACAGAGGAGAGGAGAGGAGAGAGAGATGAAGAGAGGGGAGATGGGGGAGAGAGGATGAAGAAGAGGGGTGAGTTGGACTGACATGTGGGGCCCATGTGTGTCCCACCATTTTTTTATTATTTTCTGTGTGAGACTGACATGTGGGTCCTATGGGTTTTATTATTTTTTCTGGATCGAATTGCCACGTAAGCGCCACGTCAGTGCCACGTCAGATGAAGACTAAGTCAAATTAGCCACGTAGGCGCCACGTCAGCCAAAACCGCCCTCAAAATATCGAGGGACCTAATCTGCACCGGTTTTAATAGTTGAGGGACCCGTTGTGTGTGGTTTTCCGGATGAGGGACGGAAATCGGATTCGTTGACAAGTTAAGGGACCTCAGATGAACTTATTCCTTTTTTTTATATCATTTTTACCGAATTTACTGGGTCTTGTGTTGCCAAATGGAAACCTTTTTTCCTTAATGGGCTGGGCCTTGTGTTGACATATGGGCCATTTTTCTCCTAAATAGACTGGGCCCAGTGGACATATAGGCCCTTTTTCCTAATGGACTGGGTCTTGTGTTGACTAATGGGCCCTTTTCGTGATACACCGGGCCTTGTGTGGACATAGGGCCGTTTCAGCAACTCGTTACTTACTATCCTCTATCGGTTCTCTATTGCAAAAATTTCTTCTTGCTTGCTGCTTTGTTCATGCAACACCCATGTCCCCGAATTCGCCCTACTGCAGAAGCTTGGATTGGAGCCAATTTTTCCCTGCCAATATTTTGGCACTACCAAATTTAATACAGCACTAGCGTAAAATTTGACTAGTGAGAGAAAAATGGGTAGCAAACCAAACACCCATGTAGCTCCGATCCAAAAAAGCCATAAACATGATGACGTGCCCTTTTCATACTACAGTAGCAAGAACAAATGAACAATTCCACGGCGTAAACCATTTACTGTCTGTCTGTCCGTAGGGTTATGATTCCCAAATTACGTGCTTGGGTTGGGTTAGACCAAGCATCGCTGCCTGCAAGCAGCAGCTTTTCTTCAAGGCTGAACTGCTGGAATCAGATCAGAAGTTTTCCGAGTTCACGTGCAATCCAATGCGTCTGAAGGTGAATCACGTTGTTTGCGTGGATGGAAAAAATATGTTGCTCCGCCTTATCGTAGACGGACGTGCTGTCTGTCCAGGTTCAATACACTTGCCTATAAAGTATAAACTCCATTCTCTCATGTGCAATTCGAAATAAACTAGTGATAGTAGTACTGAATAAACAAGTCGTCGACACTGCAGCATTATAGTACTGTACTACATTTCTGAACCGGAAACGGCTGGTATACTCGATTGTAGGAACCAAATCGACCAATACATTCCATGCTCTCAAATGGGATGGATATATCAACCTTCGTCTTTCTGCTCGAGCAGTTGAACCGAACGCGAGCCACCACCGGTTCTTGAGAAATATCAGGCCTGAACATCGACCCAAGTCCCCGACATGAATACATGATTGATGATTGAGTATGGGTCACTTTACTGAAGATACGCAATGCGGTGGCTGTTTACAGTTCAGCTCCGGCCAGCTTATCAATGATGGCAGAGCAAATTTCTATTACTTTCTCCGTTTTATATTATAAGATTTTCTAGTATTACCCACATTAATATATATGTTAATAAATCTAGATATATATATTAACATTTATATAAATAGATAATACTAAATAGTCTTATAATCTGAAACGGAATAGGTACATTACATATATGCCGTTTCAAGAAGTATATGAAAGCAAAGCCCGTACCATGCCATATTGCCATACACCTAGACGAACAGTCCATCACCATGGTTAATCAAGGAGCACGCATCAGCGAAAAGCAGCACACGTATGATATGGGTGGTGCGCATTAGCGTCAAGTATGATGAGGATGGAGCATCAATGAAAGCATCGGCATGATGTAACGCCACGGAGACATATGCGACGTGGACGTGTCGAGAGTAGCACGAACGCAGACGCTGTTCCTGATTGGATATTTCTTTTTATTAGTGTACTAGAACTACTATCTTGCCAATACTTGAAAACTATAATAAACTCCAAATAATTGCGATGATGTTGAAAAATATAGTACTAATAAACTCCAAATTATAATTGCGATGATGCACTAGTAACATCACTTACACGTGGGGTCGTACGTTCTCCATTATTGGAGCTGGAAGAATTCTCTGGGCAGCTGCAAACGTAACCAAACTCTCTTTGGGCTGGTGGTGGTGGGATCAGAACTCACGTACAACACTGCTGGCCCAATAAGCAAAGATGCCAGATGCACGGGATTTTTCCGGTGGATGCCCAAGCATATTCCGAGCAGAAACTGCCGGCTTGCGGCAACCAGAAACTCTCCGGATCCAGCCAGGAAAACGAAGGAATTTTACTACTTCGTCCGAAATTATAGACGGACAAATCCATACTGGAAGGAGTACGACACGCTAAGCTCGTAGCGAGAAATCTGCGGGCAATCGAGCCGTGGAATCGTGGTTTTGCCGTGTGCGCGGCGCGCCGCACCGTACGCGCATGCGTACGTGGTCCAGGAACCAGGAGAGCGGTCGCCCACACGTACGGCGCTCACATGGATCGAGCCGCGCGTACGGGGGAACAGCGACTAGCCTCCCTCCCTCCCACCCACGGCGCGGCGGCACACGGCCCATCCGCATCCGCGTTCGCGCTACGTTGTCGTACACGAATCATCGTGTGGTTGGGACTTGCTTGGGCGCGGTTGGGTCACGTTTCAGGCTTCAAACAGTTGAGTTTGAGAGATACGGTACGAGAAGATTTTTTTTTTCACTTATTCCTTTTTCACGAACACACAAAAGGTTTACACGTTAATATATTAGAAGAAAAAGAGTTTTTATTAAATAATGCAATCAATCAGACTGGCTTATGCCAATGAAAGAGAGAAAAAGAAAAACAAAAACCGAAGCCAGGAAAAGATTACTACCGCGGTTAAACGCAACTCCTAATAGCGGGAAGGGGCAGAGCCACGCTACACTCCCAACAAATTCCCAAAAGCGGCAACGCCAGCTAGAGGCCACATATTACCCTCCGAAAGGATGGACTACAGCACCGAGATCGAAGAGAGCGCGGAGTTGAAAACCCTAGAGTTTCATTCCTTCCATAGCTACCAAGAGAACAGGAGAACCAGGGAGTCAAAATTGGCGTAGAGATGCTCAGGCAAGCAGGCCCTGGAGGAAGACCACCAGTCCTGGAGCTAGCTGCCACGGGAGGGGGAGAGAGCAATTCAGCCAGGAGTGATAACACATGGAGCCAGACTTGCCGAGTGAACACACAATCGAGAAGGATGTGGTTCGCCGTCTCAAGCTCCTGATCGCAAAAGGGGCAGGCCAAGTGGCCATCGATGCCACACTTCTGGAGGAGGTTGCCGTCCAGTAGCGCTACTGAAATGCAAAAAAAAAAGAACATGTATTTAGCAGGACCCTTTGCATGTCAGAGGAGATCAACACATGCAAAAAAGTGTTGGCCATAGAAGAACGCCTGGTACACCGAACGCACCGAGTAGCGCTGGTCACTCATCCAACGCCACACAAGACGATCCCCGATGCCCGACAAGAGCTGTATGTGAAGCACCACATCCCAAATAAGAAGAAACTAGGAGATGACATGGACAGTGAGGGCGCCGCGGATGTCAGAAACCCAGGAATTGTTCGCCAAACAGGCCAAAAGCAACTGTGCGTGAGCCTCAAAGGCGTTGGGGCACGCCGAAGAGGAGATCTCGAACCAAGGAGGCCACCGAGCGGTCGTCGATCCATTGTTCAAACCAAAAAGAGTATTGACTCGCCATCTCCCGGCATGAAGAAGGTGGACGCCTCGAACATGTCGAAAATGGTCTGCTCGGCTGGGGCCTTCAGGCCATCCCAGTAGGGATGCTCTGAACGCTGAAGCCAGAGCCAACGAATACACAGGGGCACAGGGCAAACCCTGCCATCCTAAGATCATGAATTCCCAAACCACTAAAAGCTTTGGGACGACAGTCATTCGTCCAGAACACTCGGCACTGCCCCCATGAGCCGAGTCCATACCCGTCCACAAGAAGGCGCGACGCTTCTTATCAATGGCCTTAATAACCTGGACTGGAAGGCAGGATCACCATAGACACATGGACTGAATTGGAGGAGAGAACCGACTGGACCAGCATAGAGCAACCAACCAGAGTGGTGAGTCGTCCCTTCTATGGTGGAAGTCGATGGAAGACTTTATCCACAAACGGTTGCAGGGCCGTCTTTGGCAACTTGCGAACGGACAGCGGAATGCTGAGGTAGGTGCAAGGAAAATAAAAAATCGAGCAAGGAAAGCAAGGCTGAACCAGTTCCAGGTCCTTAGCCGAGCAACAGATCGGAGTAACCAAGCATTTGGCAAAGTTGGTGCGTAGCCCGGACGCTGCACTAAAGACGGAAAGGATGCTCTGGATGAACTCAAGATTAAGGCATTGATGCGGTACAAGATTAACATGTACTTAGTAGTGATAGACTGATGAGTAGGTACTTTTTTTTAATGTAAATTTAATAACTCTTAGTATCTAGATACTATGAGATACTAAATTTAATACTAAATTTTGGTTCCTCATAATATCTTCCCAAGAATTGTAAAATTACTCTAGACTGCTAGCCTCACATAGTAGCAGGCTGCAAGAAATAGGCCACACCGAACGGGACTTCACGGTTGTACTGCATCTGTGACTGTGACGATGGCGAGGCTTAATTTCGTGGATCTCGAACCTTCTTAATCTTGTTTTCTCGCATGACAAACAAACGAAAACAGGTGGAGCTACTGAATCATTAGCCTTTTGTTACCAAAACAGAAAAAAAAAACTGAATCATTAGCCTTTTTCTATGGTGGCGAGACACGTACGGCCGGCCCGTGCGACGTGCCAAGGGCTAAACTGTGGCCGTGACGCGGTGCACGGTAGAAAAAAAAATTGCACCGTAGTAGGAGTAACAATTATCACCAAACAATATTAGCAAGTACGCTTTGCGAATGCCTTTGTTGGTATGATCACGACGTCGCGACGTTGATAACATAGAGTAAGGGGCCATGACGTATTTCGATTTGACATAAACGACAATACAAAATTGTTTTCAACTTTTTTAGTGAAACAGACAGCTGATTCCACCCTCTAATTGGGTGTCATTTTCCAGCGGGCGGCGGTCGATCTGCTAGATTTGATCAATCGTGGATTCATCAGTGAATTCGTGGAAAAACTGGGGTAATTTGTGAGGTCAAAAGAGAGCTAAACGGTACAGTAATATCTCAGGAAACCACCAGGAAAGATCGATGACGTTGATGCTTCATAGATAGGGTAATTAATTAGCAGCTGTATATTGGGAGGACTTTGGTCCTTTTTGGCTGCATGCTTGGAAGAAGAAGAAGAAACAACGTGTACAATGCGCAAAAACAGTGACAGTTAAATTGTTGGTCCATTATTTATTTATTTCCTGGACATATGGACTTGGTACAGTTCCTTAACTCGGACAAAACACATGGAAATTCCAAGCCGCCGAAATACACTGGAGAGTTTAGTTGATACTAGATCGAACATGATGTTTTTCTTCTCGATCGGCGGCTACTAATTATTTTCTCAAAGAAATGTTCGTAGTACATACGAAGTAGACTATAGAGTACGTTTTACTAGTTAGAGTACTTGGAAGAGAAGGTGCAAGACGTGCACAGTACGTGTAGGGAGGATGAAGCAACAGTCCAAACCGCCAGGGCGACGGTAGCACGCCATATACTTGTTTTTTTGAGAGAAGAACTATGTATATATGAGTACTTGTCCATGTTGCCAGCAACGTATCAGTTGTGGACCACAATTATCATTTGATAAGCTTGTTCAATTCTCATTACAACAGCTGGAACCTTACATGATCAAACAAAGCAGCCAGCTACTGTACGCTCCTCTGTTTGACCGAAATCACCATCTGAAGCTGGAAATCTGCATTTGCCAATGCCATAAGCTTGCATTCCCAATTCGTCGAGCTTGCCGGCCGGTTTCATGCATCTGCCAATTGCTCATCCACGCAATTGCCGAATGCATGTGACACTCTGCCCGGCTTGAGCAAATATCGGGGAGAGAATTAAACACTCTAGCTACTAGATTGGGCCAAAAGACGTTTTTAGTGTGAACTATTTTCTGGTTCCGCTTTGCACAACCAAATCACCTTGTCATGGTCATCCCTGTTTCGTTTTCAGAGACTCCGACCCATTGAGAGACGAACAAGTACACTCCATACCCTTCATGATAGTTTCACAACACCCATTGTACAGCTAGAGACCGATAAAGATCACTAGCTAGTACAATGAATCTAGATAGAAGATACTTTCTAATACAACGAATCTGAACATATACAGATTAATTATTTTTAAGATAAAAGAAGTGAGTAGAACTTCGGTAGAAACAAGGTACTCGTGTTCATATAATAATATAAACGATCACGTTTTTACTGTCTTTCGTAAAAGAAAAGAAAAGGAAAACAGAAGAGGCATTGAAAAGGAAAGGGTGGATTTGTGCTGCATGCTGTTTTCCCGTGGTGAAAATGGAACCGTGCAACAGGTGGGAATCCTCCGCGTCGTTGGACGCATACGTACGTGATGCTCCCCTTTGCGTCCGTCTGCTCCACGAGTTGTATCTCTATCGATCCTCTCTTTCTCGAGTTGTGCGATGCAGATATCGGACGGATGGATATATCTGTGACGGTACGCGACTGTAGATCTATATATATCTAGATTTTCGCTTTGAGATGTTTGTGTCACTTGTGTGACGTATACGGGCTTCGAAACGTTTTAAACTCGACTATACGAAAGGACTTCGATCTTTATGGTGCTGGAAAGTATTTTTGCCAGCAATGCAAAGACGCCTTGCTTAAATGTTTGTTTTAAAATTGCACTTGTTCCAACTGGAGCTTAAATGTTCGCTTAAGTGAAACAAACATTGCTGTTCTACATCAATAACACCTTCCAAATGGTACTATTTCGGGCATCAATTTATTCCTACTCGATCAGTGCTACCCAACCAGTCCACTACAATAATTTATTTAAGTGTTTTTCTTTTCAAAAGAACAATTTAATTAGAGGCGTTTTTTTCCTAAAAAAAGAACAATTCATAATCGTTTCTTCTCTGCACCAAACACGCACGACAGCACACATGATTTTAATTTTAATTTGAAAATCAGAACAGTACACATAATCATAAGACGTAACTATACAGCTAGTGGTACCACTCCATCTAAGAGAGATACTATCCACTTATACTTTAAATGCAATTTTCTCTTAAAATACTCATCCGATATACGATCCGATTGCACCGTTGTGTTCGTAACAATTAATTCTTTATAACAAGATCTTACATGATTATATTTTGATGAAAAATTATAAATTACTTTTATCATATATCTAAATTACTTCTTAGACATATAAAAATAAATTCAATAAAGCCTAAAAGTAATTTACATATATTATAGAAGTAACTTATAATAAAAAGAAAGTAACTCTAATGAATGCCTTTTTTCATTGGACGTGAAGTCATATTTTTATCCCTACAACGAATTTACTTCTAATGTCGTGACAAAGTTACTTCTGTTTTGTTTTTAAGTTACTTTTATAATATATGTGCATTACTTTTAGACTTTATTGAATTTACTTTTATATGTCTAAGAAGTAATTTAGTTAAATCTAAAAGTAACTTATATACATGATAAAAGTAACTTATATATATAATAAAAGTAATTTATAAATATAAATATTTTTTTATCATAATATAATCATGTAAGATCTTGTTATGAAAATTTAATTGTAACAAACACAATGGCGTAATTGGATTGTAGATCGGATAAATAATTTGAGAGAAAACTTTGTTTGAAGAGGAAAAATACATGCATGTCTATTAAAAAAATGCATGCATGTAGTACGAGTACGATGTAGTAGACTCCACGTCTTCTCCATATTTAGGCGTCGCTGGTTAAGGCAAAAACGGGAGGCCTCTCTAAATAGATTTTATGATAATCATATAATAGCAACGCAATCACACCGTATACGAACACCACTAAACATAATCCCTCCGTCCCATAATATAGCAACGGGTACTAGGTTGCTATATTATGGGAGAGAGTAATAAACATTGATAAGTACGTGTTGTGATGACGTGAACTTTCTCGGTTGCTACCATTGCCAATGTGCCGTCGGGCCCACCCGGCAGTGTCACCGAGAGAGTCCCGTCTCCTCCCGCAGCGACCAACCGCGAGACGGATAAATACCGCCACGCGCTCGCACCCAAATCTTCTCCAACTCAAAACGAGCCCCCAAATCCCAGAGAGGAGTCGCGAGCTTTTCATCAATCCTCTGATTTTCCCCCAGGTTTCCCCACCCGCAAAGAGCCTCAAAATTCCCCCTCCTCTGTCGCGACCGATCGCGACGACGGCGCCGGACGAGCAGACACCGCCGCCACGATGCCGCCCTCCACCGGCTCCGTCCCACCCGCCGCATCAACGCCGGCGGCTGGGGACGAGGCCACCGCCGCCGGGAGGGTACTCCTCGGCAGGTACGAGCTCGGCGGCCTCCTCGGCCGCGGCGCCTCCGCCAAGGTGTACCTCGCCCGCGACCTCCTCACCGGCCGCGACGTCGCCATCAAGTCCTTCCCCAACCCCCGCCACGGCGGCGGCCTCCGCGGCGGCGAGGAGGATGTCCTCCTCCGCCCCGCGCCCATCGAGCGGGAGGCGGCCATTCTCCCCAGGCTGCGCCACCGCCACGTGATGCGCCTCCGCGAGATTCTGGCCACGCGCAAGAAGGTCCACTTCGTCCTCGACCTCGCCGCCGGCGGCGAGCTCTTCTCCCTGCTCGACGCGTCCGGCCGCATGACGGAGGACCTCGCGCGGCACTACTTCCGGCAGCTCATCTCCGCCGTCCGGTACTGCCACTCCCGTGGCGTGTACCACCGCGACATCAAGCCGGAGAACCTCCTCCTCGACGACGCGGGCGACCTCAAGGTGGCCGACTTCGGCCTCGGCGCCGTCGCCGACGGCGCCCTCCACCACACCCTCTGCGGCACCCCGGCCTACGTGGCGCCGGAGATCCTGTCGAGGAAGGGGTACAACCCAGCGAAGGTGGACATCTGGTCCTGCGGCGTCGTCCTCTTCGTGCTCGCCGCGGGGTACCTCCCCTTCAACGACGCCAGCCTCGTCAACATGTACCGCAAGATCTACGCCGGCAAGTTCCGGTGCCCGGCCTGGTTCTCGCCGGAGCTCCGGTGCCTGGTCCGCCGCATCCTGGACCCCAACCCGGCGACCCGCATTGACACGGAGGAGATCATCACCCACCCGTGGTTCCGCCAGGACGCGAGCCACTTCGCGATGGCGCAGCTGATGCAGCACGGCCACGACGAGGAGGCCAAATTCAAGACCGAGTTCAAGGAGGACGACATGGCCCGGGACATGACGGCGTTCGACATACTCGCATGCTCCCCTGGCTCCGACCTCTCCGGCCTCTTCGGCGCCGAGCCGGGGAAGGAGCGGGTGTTCGTCGGCGAGCCGGCGGCGGCGGTGCTATCCCGAGTGGAGGAGGCCGGGAAGAAGGAAGGGTACATGGTAACGAGAGAAGGGAAGAAGGGCACCGGGCCGGTGTACGTGAAAGGCGAGAACGGCGGCATTGTGGCCAAGGTCTGCGTGTTCAAGATCGCCGACGCGGTGTCCGTCGTCGAGGTGGTGAAAGGCTACGGCGCCGAGGCCGCCCGGTTCTGGAAGGCCAGGCTCGAGCCGGCGATGAAGCCTCCGGCAGCCATCTGAGCTGCCGACGAGAGGGTGAGCTGGTTCGTTGCCGCGTGCTTGCAAATTGCAATCGAGATTTGTTCTTGTGTTGTTCAGTGTAACCGTGTGAGTGATGTCTCCCGTCGGCGAATTGTTTGGGTTTTTTTGGGATGTATTTGTTCATGGACGGCGTCATGGAGGTGGTATGTAAGCACGATTTGGTGATGTCTGGGCTGGAAAATAAGAGGCAAAAAATTCCCTGCTATGATGAGCGGACAAGAATACAAGATACTGAAGTTCGTCGACTCGTCGGCGTCAGATGACACAGGATGGACGAAAATCTTGCCTCTCTTGTGGACGAGAGCTGCCGTTCGACTTTTCCTCCCTCGATCGATTGCCCGATAAAACAGTCGACCAGTTCTTAGTTTACACAGCTTCTCATGGAACGATGCCAATTGGTTCGCTGAAAATTGTTGGAAGCCAGAGTCAGCTATGCAAGTGGCGTTAAAAAAAAAACAGAGTCAGCTATACAAGTTGCTGCTGGTGCGAACCCGTCGCGGATGGGCAGAGAGAGAGGCTGGCACTGCGCTTTTGTGGCGGTTCTCGCTATCATCGTGTCGTGCGTACCTCGAACGCGTCATCGGAACACCGTTCAGAGGCTACTGTCTACTCCCTCCATCTATAAAAAAAAAAAAAGACAAACCGTGGTTTTCGTGTCTAACGTTTGACCGTCCGTCTTATTTAAAAAATTTATGAAAAAAAATTAAAAAGACAAGTCATGCATAAAATATTAATTATGTTTTATTATCTAACAACAATAAAAATACAAATTATAAAAAAATTTTATATAAGACGGACAGTTGAAGTTGGACACGAAAATCTAGGATTTACCTTTTTTTCTTGGACTGAGGAAGTACTAGGCGCCACTTGCAAAAGGGAACATTATCCCCTACCTAACGTTGTTCTTTCTCCAGGCTTCAGCAGCCATCCGTTCGTTTGGGCTCCTTTAGAACGTATAAGAAATTAAGAAAAAAAAATGGAAAAATAGAAAAAAAAACACAGTAATTAAATGTCATGCTATATGAAATCTGACATAAACTCAAAATAAAGACATTTGTCAAATTAGTCGTTTGGATACTTCACAGGAAGAAGAAAAGGCATTAGAGTAGTCTTAGACTTCTCAAAAGGAATTCAAACTATGAGGTTTGAGATCATGTTTAAAATTGTTCATAGTAGGAGCTGGGGGATGATAAGAGGGCCGGCGAGTCGATGTGTGCATTATCGGGTAGCTTCGAGATCTGATCTGATATGATATCTCCATGGATGATGATACTAGCACGGGGTGACCTGGACTGTAGCGATAGGCCACACCTACTGTTTGGCCGTGCTCTAGGCGCTGATCACCAGAGTACATGTTGGTACAGTTGCCATGTGACCTGGTCGTTGGATTGGCCCTGCGTGAGAGCAGTATAATAGGGGCTATAAAAAGATTTATAAAAAGATTGAATGCTGAGGTAGATGAAAGAAGAGAGAAAAGATGAAAAACGAGCTATAAACCTAACACAGATTTAGACATAGAAAAAAAATATATAAGACAAACAAGTAAAGAGCTAACCACTATATTTGCATGCAAGAGACTGCATGCAGCCATGAACCTGACCACCGCCCGGCCCGGTCCCGTTGGCCCCATGCCCCGGCGCAACCGGACGCCGACGCTTTTCCTGCGCTTTATTGCGGTGGTCCGCCGCCACCCTCGCCGTCGGCCTCAGCTCCCGGAGGCGTTGCCGTGCACGGGTTCGTGTGACGGCGATCGCCTGGCGGCATGACAAGTTCAAAATGTAATGTACATGCCGATCCAAGTTCAGATAACTGTAAAAGGACGCCAATCGGTTTCAATTCGCAAGCGCGTAAAAGTTCAGTGTCCAGTCGGATTGATGGCGAGAATAATAATGCGTGGTGTTCTAATTTCCTCTCTGATGGCGAAGCCTGTGGCCGAGATAACCTCTTCGAAGAGGTGTAGTTATCCAGCAGGGCCTTATTTATGGCCAAGTGATAAATTCTACGTACATTTCTATGAATGGATGTCAGTTCACGATTGTACTATCAATTGAAATCCGACGTCTCACTAATCCTGAAATGTAACAACCAATAATGTTAGTAAGGAGGATCACGGTGATAAAAGAAGTGCTCCAAATCATTCTCACATCAAAATGGTACAAAGCGATCAACTGGAATCGTCAAAACTTGTGGATGTCACAAAACTACTGATCAACGAAATGGCACACTTAGCTACTGATGAATAGTGAGCGAATACAACGCTAGAGTAGATGCCACGAATTTTCACAGGCTCCTTGTTTCAAGCCAATACTCCTATAGTCTGTCATCAACACATCTCCACGTTGTTACCTGGGTTGATGCCGTCAGAGGGAGCTTCATGATGGTGCAGAGTTGGAGCTCGGCTGCTTGGGACTGTAGTACCACAGAGGGCGGGAGGTGGAGGGACGAGACGAACGGACGAGCCGGCGTCCCCGACCCTTCATTTCATGTTATATAATGTCTGTAGCATCAAATATATTATCACATGAGAAAAATCTGATATGGCAAGAGAGTTAACGAGGGGAGAGGTAAAAAGATGAAGAAAAAATTTCTTATGCAAGAAACCATTTCTACACAAGAATTAAGAATGAAAACAAGAGGATAGGTAGATAAAAAAAAAAGATAAAGGAGATGATTAGATGATAATTTAATTTGAAGACACCATCCATTGGATTCGTAGTTTCTATGCATGGTGTCTATATAACATGGTAAATATGAAAAATACTTTATAGTTTCTGGGTTGGGGATGGCCTAAGAGAGAGGGGAGGAAGTAAGGCTAGACCCAAAAAAAAAGCGCTCGTCGGTAGCTAGCTTACTCAGCTCGTGGCTAGTTTCGGACATGTTTGGCGGAGTTTAAAATTCTGAAAAATTGCTTGCTGGTATCCAGATTCTGAGAATATGAAAAAATGCTTCTAGTTTATTTTTAGATTCTACAACTATAATTTCTCAGAATCTGGCTTAAAAAACTGACTGTTTGGGGGATCTTTTGAATTTGGAGAATCTACAGCTACCAAAGCTTCTCAAACAGGCCCTTAGTTCAAACTCGTTTTGATTTGTTAATGACTTGAGCTAAGGTTCTAGTTCGTTAGGTGTAATGAGGTAGCTCCTGACCTGCTTGCAAGCAAAAAGAGCCAAGGCAAGCAACAGGTTAACAAACACAACATTCTAACAAAGAAATTAAAACACATCTCTAACCCTAGGATTCCAATCCTAGTACATACTATCTCCGTTTCGAAATGTTTAACGCCGTTGACTTTTTAGTACATGTTTGACCGTTCGTCTTATTCAAAAAATTTAAGTAGTTATTAATTCTTTTCCTATCATTTGATTCATTGTTAAATATATTTTTATGTAGGCATATAATTTTACATATTTCACAAAAGTTTTTGAATAAGACGAACGGTCAAACATGTGCTAAAAAGTCAACGGTGTCAAATATTTTGAAACGGAGGGAGCATGTTATCTTCACCTATGACATGTGGCTTTCTCGAGTCTCAGACTCATCCTTCCGTCCACTTATCGTCTTGCGTTGCTTTGTTCGATCATAGAACTGTATATTTAAATTGATTATATGGAAGTTTTGGTTGATTGTATAGAAGTATGGAAATAATGATACTTTTATTAATTCGTATATTAGTTTGCTACTTAGACTGTATGCAAATATTTGTATACTTAAGTTGATGTTGTTCTGAATGTGTTGGTTCGTGAGCTTAACAAGCCAGCCTAAGCAGGCAAACAATCCGATCCGAGTTAGTTTTTAGCTCGATAGGATAACAAGCCAAGCTAACTTGTTATCTTAAAATGAGCCAAGTCAAAGCAGGCTCTATGTACAGCCCTAAGGACAAGGGATGAGCGGATGGTTGACCGATTTTAGCTACGACGCACATACTAAGTTTGGCTAGCTAGATAACCAGCCGGTTATAGTTTCACTTTTTGTTATGTACTGTAGGTAAAATTTGGTATGGCTAGTCATATAGCTGGCCTGTTAGAGATACTATGCATTTGGTCTAGATAATCTCTACTGCGAGTAATTATTCAGCAAGCTTTCGATGTAGATCATAGGACCCTTTTGAATCGTATGAATGAAAAAAATAGAGAAATAGAAAAAATATATAGGATTTTTATAGGAATACAAGTGTAAATAGAGAATTGCAAAATACAGGAAAAAAAACATCAATGACCATTTGATTGGACCACAGGTTGAACCTCTTGCTAACTTTTCTTCAAAATCTATATAGTATTACTCATTTCATAGGGATTTCAAATGATAGGATAGATCCAATTCTTTGTTTCAAAGGCTTTCATAAGAATTTCTTTCGTAGAATTAAAATCCTTCAAATTTCCTCCGTTTTTCTTACAATACAAAGGGCCCGTAAAGGTCAGTTCGCAGTTATCAGCCTGAAAGCTGACGCCTCACTAATCCTGAATTCTGTCGAATCGGATAAAGAACAATCCCAATAATGTTCATGGGGATCACAAAGGCAAAAGTGCTCGGAATCACTCGCACATCAGAATACAGTAATAACGCGACCAACTGCAATCACCAAAACTTGTGGCTGCAAACAAAACTAGTGACCAATAGATCGAACTGCAAACTTCGCTACCGATGAGTACTTAACTTAACGAGTACTACAACGCTAGGAGCTGATCTATCGATGCCACGAACTTTCACGGGCCCCTTGATTCAAGAAAGCACTCCTATAATTGTAGCAATCGTACTACGATATATTGTCGTATAACCATTAGTCCTTATCAAATCTCTGCCACCTCACCTCTCATAATAGGAGCAAACGACGAACCATGAAAACGTTGCTCGCATGCCTCCAATTATTGGTGCTCCACATGCTCTGAACTGGTTAAAATAACAGCACATCGGTTCACGGAAGCGATGCTGCTGACGAGCCCGGGGATTCTCTTTAGGTGGTGTTAGGATCTGGCGATTTAATTTTAGTCCATGTATTTAGATACTAATTTAGAGTATTAAATATAGACTACTTACAAAATATATTACATAAATAAAAGCTAATTCGTGAGACAAATTTTTCAAACCTAATTAATACATAATTAGAGAATGTTTACTGTAGCATCACATAGGCTAATTATGGATTAATTAGGCTTAATAGATTCGTCTCGTAAATTAGTCCAAGATTATGGATGGGTTTTATTAATAGTCTACGTTTAATATTTATAATTAATATCCAAACATCCG